TCTGGAAATCAATAAAAATAAACTAAAAAAAACTTTTTTTTGACGTTTAAATATCTCAAGTCTTTTTCCCATTACTTTTCCTTAGACCAGGACGTTTCTTGCCTGTAATTGCTGCGACAAGTATCCCTAATTGTGCTCTCCTACTGTCTCCCCTTCTTCATTTTCATTCTTTTTTTTTTTTTAAATATATTCTTTATGGTTTCAGAGAGGAAGGGAGAAGGAGAGAGAGAGATAGAAACATCAATGATGAGAGAGAATCATTGATTGGTTGTCTCCTGCACGCACCCCACTGGAGATTGAGCCCGCAACCCAGGCATGTGCCCTTGGCCGGAATCGAACCTGGGACCCTTCAGTCCGCAGGCTGACGCTCTATCCACTGAGCCAAGCCGGCTAGGGCTTCATTTCATTCTTCATACAGCAGCCATAATCTTTCTAATATAGAAATCTGTCATTTTACTAAATGCTTAAAAGCCACATGTTTGTTCTTAGGATAAAGTCTAAACTCAGTCAACATGGCGGATCAGACCTAAAGGATGAGGAGTGAAGGAAACAGTATTCTGGGCCCAGGGAAGAGCATGTCCAAAGCCTGGGAGGGGGATATAGAAATTCAGTTACAGAAGTTAGAGTCCTAGGAAAGGAATGAGACATTGAATTTGGACCACTACGCTGGGGCTGTCTTGAAGGGCCTTTTAAGCCTTGTCCGTGAGTCAAGACATTATACTAGGAGATGGGAATTCATCCTCTAAATTATGTACCCTGCAGTGGCGCTCCACTTTAAACTAAATTGTAATTGGTTTGTTTGGTGGTTCCCTGCACTAGCTGGAGATGACCTACTTCCCCAACTCTTGTGGAAGTCTTATCTCCTGCCATTTGTTGCTACTCTTAGCTGCTGCCACCCTCCCTGCCCAGCAGCAGTGTACACACAAAGTGCTCCAGGTATACTGAAGTTCTGCCATGTATTCTTTCACCCCGTGGTCTTTTTTCATTACCACTACCTACCCCTTTCCCTCTTCTGGTTACATTTTGATCATTCCTCAGATCTCAGCCTAATCCTCTCATTGTTCTTTGAGGTCTAGACTAGGTTTGGTGGCCCCGCTATGAACCTGTGGTCCCGTAGTCTATATTTCTTACACTATACTTACTAGATGTCTTATTTAATTTCAGCTGCCCTCAGACTCAGGTCACTTGACAGCATGAACTTCGTCTCCTTTACTGCTATATCCCTACTACCTGACACATGAACGTTAAAAAATGCTGATACTGAGAATGAGTGATTTTTTTCCCCTTGAAAATCTTAAGTCCTTGAACTTCTGTTATCTCTGATCGTCATCTAGGTCTTACAACCTGCATCAAAATTGGGTTCTCTATGGGTGGGGGATTGAGCCTGCAACAGGTACATGCCCTTGGCCGGAATCAAAACCGGGACCCTTCTGTTTGTAGGCTGGCAATCTACCCACTTTGCCAAACTAGCTAGGGCAAAATTGAAGTCTCTTGTCCTTACTTCCTCATACTTTTCTGCAACTGTTAAGAGAAAGGGTTAACTAAGGGTAGAAGATTGGGAAGCAGGATTGAGAAAAAGAGAAAGGTGCTTCCAGGTGGGCTAACTACTGGTGGAGGTGCCTTCCCTTGCACATTAACTTGAATCGGGAACCAATTTGGCTGAACTTGCCTATCTCACCTGCCATGGAAAGCAGAAGTCAGGCAAAATAAAGCATTCCCTCTCCCCCAACCCTGGCCCCTGCAAGCTAGGTTAGTTATTGTATGTATGTGAAAATACTAGTATATTTACATTAATTTTAATGGATCTTAATTCTACTTCAGTTCTGCTCTGAGAGTCAGGTTGAAAGTGGAAAGACCACAGAATTTGATAGAAGATTCAGAATTTTGTCTGGTTCTGCCATTTCCCAATTCGTGACCTCTACCTTTTTGATACTTGTTTCCTAATCTCTATAATTATTTACACAATAGTTCTTCACAAAATTGTGTGAATCAAATGTGATGATGCATGTGGAAATACTTTAGAGTATATGGTAAGCTCCTATGCAGATGAGCTTATTATTAAAATTTTGCTTAACCACTGTGTTCATTGATTCATCATTCTAAGTAGTCTTCACTGTTTAGCAAAATTCTTGCTGAAATATGATGTTTCCATTCTATTTCCACAGTACTGAACATTGGTAAAAAGCTCTATGAGGGTAAAACAAAAGAAGTCTATGAATTGTTAGACAGTCCAGGAAAAGTGCTCCTGCAGTCCAAAGACCAGATTACAGCAGGAAATGCAGCCAGAAAGAATCACCTGGAAGGAAAAGCTGCAATCTCAAATAAAATTACTAGTTGTATTTTTCAGTTGTTACAGGAAGCAGGTAAGTGGCTCTCCCAGTAGCCTCCCACTTCATGTTCTCTCACATACACATATTTGTCCTTTTCAGGGAGAAATGACACAGTTTGTATTAACAACATGTTGATTACTACTTATTATTTTTTTAGTTCTTAGAGGAATCAGGTAAGTGGCTTCCCTTTATCAGGGAGGTATATAACACAACACACTGTAATCTCTTTCATGGGTAGATGACACTATTTGTATTAACATTTTGTTTGGAGATGCCTCACAAGTAAGCTTATTTAAATCAAACCAGGAACTCAGATTTCACTATAACACTTTACTTGGTTTGGAATTAGTAAGTAGTATTATTTAGTTAATTAAAAGGACTCTTCCCTGCAACTTCTAGGGCATCTTCCTAAGAGAGACTTACCTATGAAGGACCTTAAGGAATGTACCTATGAAGGAAGCAAATTCTGGTGTTAGGCAGCTCTAGTTGATGAGTTGAAATTTATGAGCTGTAATTCTATACAATTATTCTGTGTTCCATCCTTGGAGATAATACAGAATTTAAAATTTCTCTTCCACTTGAAAGCTCTGAAAAGTGTTTGAAGACTAACCACATTTCATTCCGCTATTCCCCAAGTGAGGGATTTGGACTAGATCAAAGATCTTCAGGATTACCTCCTACTCCAAAACTGAAGACTTTCCAATAGAGACATCTACTAGAAAGATAAAAACAAGATCAAAACATTCTATGGAGTGAAGGAAGGGGAATTAGGATAATGTATTTTTCTGCAGATTGGTCTGTGGTGTATGAAATCTTAACCTGTAAAAGATTTGCACTCTTTCCCTTTAGTAGTCTTATTGTCTTCGATCATTCAACCTTTGAAGCCTCTGGTTCCTTACCTATTAAATAAAAGCTTTGTTCTTTATCTCAGTTCCAATTTTATAACTTAATAACTTTGTCTCCTTTTATTTGCACTTTTCCCAGTTGCCCTTTCGTAATTTAGAGCTTCCAGTAAGCATTAGTCTTCCCTAAATCAAAAGGGGGTTTTCATACGTTTGTTGCCAGTCAAGGTAGACATGCCTGCCTTATACAAAATAAGGTAATTTATGCAGCCGTGTCAAATTCGGTGCCTGCCCACCCATGGCAGGCACTGGCCCAGAAGGCTGCCACAGAAACACTGTGGTGCATGGGCCCTGATCCCCTCTGCTGGGCCTCAGGGATAAGTTTGGCTACAGACATCAAGGAAAACAAAAAACAAAATACGGTAATTTAAGTTAAATCCATTCTGTTAGTACAGAATGGGTTCTAGATAGTTTTGTCTCTTCCAAAGTACCATTTCACTGTTCGTTAATATTCACCCAAGGATACTTTTTCCACTGATTTTTAGAGAGAGAGAGGAAGGGAGGGGGAGAAAGAAACATCGATGTGGAAGAGATACATCTATTGGCTTCTTCCCGCAGGCATCCCAACTGGTGCTGGGGATCGAACCTGCAACCCAGGCCTGCACCCCTGACTGGGAGTCAAACCCAAGTTACCTAACACTGTAAATTGTTAATAAATTAGTATCTATGTACCCACAGTAATTGCATATAGCTGTGGGAGTGTGTGTGTAGCGCGCACACATATATGCACTTTAAAGTAATAGAAGATAAGTACAGCCCAAGCTTTTTGCTTATTTAATAAGGCACTATCAGTATACTTTCTGGGGTTTAAGAACAAGTGAATTAGAGTGATCCAAGTTGTTTAGGGTGTCTCCTAGTTTGACTTTGAAAGTCTTGCAGCTCAGGTAACTAGGAAAATTGATTACCTTAAATGAAGTACTCTTAACAATTCTCTTTAAAATATTGTATTTGACACATTTAACATAGCTGAAACTTATTTGGCTCACAGGAAATGTTGAAAAGTATTTTCCAGGCTTTATATGTTGTAAAATTAAGGAAAACCTAGGTTTTTTAAAATTCTTGAATGAATCGGTTTGAGGACAGATTAAGAATTCTGTTAAGCTTTATGTAATTTTTACTTGCTACTAGTTGAATAAATGCTATGTCTAATTGACCACCAGCGGTCTATTTAAAATTTCTTTCTTTACAACCAGGGTTATGTTCCAAATTAAGGTATTTCAAGAAATTAGAATGGGAAGAGCACCAGAATGAGAATCAATAAATCAGGATTCTAGTATTCTCATTGTCACTCATGAACAAACTATAAAATACTGAGCAAATAATAGGTATAGGTAATACTGTTTTTCCCTGGTAATTATATTGCGTGCTATACCTGAGTTACAAGATTTGTGGATTTGATCTCAATGTTTAAAAATCAAAATTTAACCTTTAAGTTTCAGCTCTCCCACAAAAATGCACTGAAATTACATTTAGGTGTGCGAATAGTGATATGAATAACAATCCTACAGTTGCCAAATCACGGATGGGAAGCTGGGCAGCCTTAATACATGGATGGCCCCAGGAATATGTGGGCTGTTTATCATACGTGGCCATTGTAATTCAGAGTATGAAGTAACATATTTACATTTTCTTAGTAATCTTGATGGCTTTGAATTTTGTAGACAACAGACAAATGGGGGGAATTCTTTTTCTCATCGTATGTAGTCATGAAATTTGCTTTAATGGTTAGCATCTGTATTAAAAGGAATCATATCATTTAACTGAATCAGTCTTTTTTAGAAGTGTTTTTTGTTTTTTTTTTTCCTCTGTACAAGTTTATTACCATAAGTTGATTCTGTGCTTTTGGTTCCCTTAAGTGTGTGCATATCGCAGGGTGGGGGCTGGGAGGAGTTTCTCTGGGTAAGAGTAACTTGTTTATGCTTAAACAACAGATTTGGACAAATGAGCAAATATGACTAAGGACTAATAGGTCTGAAAAAGAAGAGCTCTTGAAGCCAGGCAGTGAGGCATGTAGTTAATCACCTTGAGTTAAGGATTGATGTCAATCATCTGCCCATGAGCCCAGTCATTTCCTGGTTATGCAGCATACCACAATTTATTTACCCTGTTTCCATTGAATTTCACTGGTCAAACCCAGAGGAGATGCAGAGAAAGCAGCATAGGTTTTGGAATTGGACAGTGCACTTCCAAGTCCAGGCACCATTACTCACTGGCAGCATAACCTAGAGTTTCCACTTCATTTCTTTGAGTCTCTGCTTCTTTCACTATAAAATGTAAATAATAATACCTACCTCAAAATGTTTATATTTGGTTAAATAAGATAATGCATAAAACACTCAGAACAGTGCAGAGTTTTTATAAATGTAAATTCCTTTCATGTATGGATACATACATATGATCAATGATCTCCAGTCCTTTCCTAAGAAAACTTTTGTCCTAGAGGATTACATTGGCAATGGAGGTACTAACATTGCAGCCTTGAGATGAATATTATATTAAGCCCATGCGGGTTTGTTGATTCGCATTCATGCTCTAGTATTACTTTGTATTGGGATATAATAACACTTTGGGGACAGGTAGTATAGTATAGTGGTTAAGTGGGCAACCCACAGAGTTCAGTATGGGTTGGAAACCCTGCTATACCTACTACTAGCTGACGTAACTACTGAGCCTCAGTGTCCTCATCTGTTTTATTGGATAATCATACTATCTACCTTATCAGGTGTTATGAGGGTTAAACAAAAAGAAAATAAATTAGCAATGCCTAACAAATTAGGTTTTGATACTTTTAAAAGTTACTTTGTGGCAAAATATACATACATAAAATTTACCATTTTGACCATGTTTAAAGGTACAGTTCTTGGTGGTAAGTACATACACAGTGCTGTGCAACCATCACCACTATCTATTTTCATAACTTTCATTGTCCCAGACAGAAACCCTGACACATTAAATAGTAATTCTCTATTCCCCCTTCTCCCTAGCTTCTGGTATCCTCTGTTTTACATTTATCCATGAATTTGCCCATTTTAGGGACCTTATATACGTGGAATGAATTATATTCTTTATTTCACTTAGCATGTTTTCAAGTTTAATGCATGTTATAGCATGTATTAGAATTTCTTTCCTTTTTATGACTGAATCCATTGAATGTATATACTACATTTTGTCTACCCATTCATCTGTTGATGGACACTTGGGCTGTTTCTCCCTTTTGGCTATTAGGAATTACTAGCATGCTGTTGTGAACATTGGTGTATGAGTACCTGTTTGAGTACCTGCTTTCAGTTCTTTTCAATACAGCCTTTCGTAGAAGTGTTATTACATCACTCTAAAGTAATACTGTAGCATTAATGGGAATTAAAGTATCTCCTACATGAGTTTAACATAACGTTCATCTTCAGGCTGTAATGTTAATACCTAGAAATCCTAGAAATGGAATGCTGATATGGTTTGTGATAAACATTATAACTGTTTTTAGAGAGGTTATTTTCCAAGACTACCACATAAAATAGTTCCCATTTTAAACATCACAAGTCAGCTCTTTATTTTAGTTTTCCAATAATAGTTTGAATAAGAGAGAAGGAGAGGAAGAACAACTATTTTATTTGCTGTTGGCCAAATTGGCCATTATGTCCCTGCTGCTAATTGTTGGGTGGTTTTTTAAAGATAATTTGCTTCTAATGTTAAGGGAAAAAAGCTATCCAAAATTTAAGATTATAGCTGATTGTGCTAAGTAGATCGATATTTTACAAGGCCTGTATAATAATGGACCATAGAATATGAGAATCCTGCAACTAAATCTAATGATTAAGTGCCACTTAGATAAGTTATGTGCCTTGTGCAAAGTCAAGTACTCATTGGCAGAGGATGTTCTCAGTAAGTATTTTTTGAACGAAAAAATTAATGAATGATAAAAACACTGTGACTCAGATCTTCTGATCCAGTATATATTTTGCCATGTGACATGAAAGTGAAATAAACCTGAGTATTTTGATAAGTAGTAGTAAGACATACTAATTTTTCCTATTTCTACTTTTTAAAAATTACATTTATTTTTGATAGTGTCATTTAAGAGAAATGTAATTAGCTAAATAGGATTTTATTTTTTGTAAGGATAGAGTTTTATTATGCCTCAGGTCTACTTTTTAAAATACAATTTTAATGGTGTGGGTTTTTTTTCTTTTTCTTATTCATATATAGGTATCAAAACTGCTTTCACCAGAAAATGTGGGGAGACCGCTTTCATTGCACCTAAGTGTGAAATGATTCCAATTGAATGGGTTTGTAGAAGAATAGCAACTGGTTCTTTTCTCAAAAGAAATCCTGGTGTCAAAGAAGGGTACAAATTTTACCCTCCTAAAGTGGAGATGTTTTTTAAGGTATTTATTTTATGCATCTGTCTTACTATAACACAACTACAAACTTAAAGTCAAACATTTAAACATTAAAGCGATGATGTTTCTCTCTCATTTATGTTTTCATCTCTCTATCCCTTTCCCTCACAAAAGAAAACAATTTAAAAAACTTTTTACATTACAGTTGTCACTCCAGAAACATGTCAATAATATATACTTCCATTAGCAATCATAATTCACTTTTAAAAAGGAAACACCTTTGAAAACCTATCTTACTTTCTACCAAGGTGACTAACAAAATAAAATTAGCAATTACTAGGAAGAAAAGTAACAATTCAAAAAAATTTTTAATTTACTGTTGAAGAATTTGAAGTAAAGGCTACTATGAGGGGTCTTTTATATTTTAACTAGAGGCCCGATGCACAAAATTCATGCAAGGAGCTCGGCCCTCGCAGCCCCAGCTTCGTCCAGTCTAATTAGCATATTACGCTTTTATTATTATAGATACAGAAAAACTATTATCAGTGTCTCTTATAAGCAAAAACATACAATAAAGGAAGTAGGAGTCCATGGTTATGAATTTGTATTGGTTTTCTTTATTGAAACTGCTTTTCTCTTTTCATATTTGTGTTTAAGTTAGTTTCTAGAGAGAGGCCAAATTCTTTCAATATTTTATAATTAAAATGTTACCCAAATATTTTAAGTTTTAAAGTAACTATTGAAAGTAGACCAACTGAATATATTTGCTGTGAATTAAAGGGTATTTTAAATAAAATTTAATCTTTAGAGGACATTTTTTAGAGGGATATTTCTGAGGATTCATGCTCAAGGGAAAAAGGACTTCAGATTATTAGAAAATTCAAATATCTTATATTTAAACTAGAGGCCCGATGCATGAAAATTCGTGCAAGAGTAGACCTTCCTTCCCCAGCTGCTGGCACCAGCTTCCCTCCAGGACCCAGGCTGGTCCCTCCAGCACCCGGGACCCTGCTTTGTCAGGAAGGACGTCCGGTCTAATTGGCATATTATCCTTTTATTATAGGTTAATTGTAATCCTATACTTTATTTTCAGGATGATGCCAATAATGATCCACAGTGGTCTGAGGAACAACTCATTGCTGCAAAATTTTGCTTTGCTGGACTTGTTATAGGCCAGACTGAAGTGGACATCATGAATCATGCTACACAGGCTATTTTTGAAATACTGGAGAAATCCTGGTTGCCCCAGGACTGTACACTGGTTGATATGAAGGTACAATTAAAATGGATATTTGAGAGTAAAAAGTTACAACTGAGAAATGTCTTTAGTAGTATAGCTTTGAGAAACTTTTCTTTGGTGATCTGCTGTTTCTAGATTGAATTTGGTGTTGATGTCACCACCAAAGAAATTGTTCTTGCTGATGTTATTGATAATGATTCCTGGAGACTCTGGCCATCAGGAGATCGAAGCCAACAGAAAGACAAACAGGTAAGTGATACTTCAGGGTTGTTATTTTTTATTCATTGCAAGATCAGGCTCTGGTAGAGGAGAAAGGAAAAGTGGGAGGCAAGAAAGGCAGTTATTATTTACTAGAGGCCTGGTTCACAGTGGGGTGGGGGGAGGGGGCGGAGGGCGTGTCCCTCAGCACGGCCTGCACCCTCTCTCAATCCGGGACCGCTCAGAGGATGTCCGACTGCTGGTTTAGGCCCGATCCTGCAGGGATCCCTCTCGCAATCCGGGATCGCTGGCTCCTAACCGCTGGCCTACCTGATTGCCCCTAACCACTCTGCCTGTCTGCCTCATCGCTCTTAACCACTCGCCTGCCTGCCTCATCACCCCTAACCACTCTGGCTGCCTCATCTCTCCTAACCACTCTGCCTGCCTGCCTCATCGCCCCTAACCGCTCGCATGCCTGCCTCATCGCCCCTAACCACCTCTGCCTCAGTCCCCACCACCACGGCTTCCCAGAATGATGTCTAGGAGGTTGTTTGGCTGTCCGGTCTAATTAGCATATTATACTTTTATTATAGACTAGTGACACGGTGCACAAAATTCATGCACATTAAAAGGGAATTAATTAGAGGAAATATTTTAATATTGTTATTTGCCCTTTCTCTATAATAGAAGTGTCAGAGATGAAAGAAAATTAGTAAAATGTATATGAAAATCTCCCTCCTGTCAGAGTCTGGGGCGCGCTGTGGGACCCAGAGTCAAGTCCCCGCCGACCACGCATGCGCGCCTCTAAATCACATGAGACCCAGACCCAGCCGGCCCCACCCCTGTCAAGCCCCGCTGGGTTGGGGGTATAGCTGCATCCCCCGGCCCTGCACCAGGGCGGGGGGGCCTGGCCTCAGGTCCCCCCAACCTGGTGCGAGGGCACAACGACCATTTGCATATTAGCTCTTTATTATATAGGATTATGATTTGAACCTGTGTTGTTGATTGCTATTTATTTAAAGCTAAATATCTCTCATGTTTCCTAAATCCTGGAAAAAAAGGTAGGAATAATACCTTACATTTACAATGCAGATTTCTCATTATTGTAATAGACTCACACAGCAAGTATTATCTTTGTTTGATTACTTGAAAAGTAAGATTCTTGCCGGAAGCCGCTCCATCCTTGCTGCTTGACACAGTCGCTGCAGGAAAGAAACATCTGCACAGCATATGTTTCAAGGGACCTGGCGTATATAGCATACTGTTCTTAATATGTTTGCTCCCCTTAGCTATGTGTTTTAACCAAGGTCACCTCTCCGAGAAAGGTTGTTTCCCCAGGTAGGGATTTTTCCCTGAAGTTAGGGAAGGGATAAAACCCCTTAACTAAGTGCCAGGCAGGTAGTTAATCACTTTAACTACAAACAATCACGCTTAAGCTACATAATCTTTACTCCCTGGAATGGAGATAAGAAATGCCCTAACCTTTGCAATAGAAATTGACAGGATTAAAATCAACTGGTATAAATACAGATGTAACAAGACAATAAACACCAGAACGTAGCTGGAGATCCTGGCTATAACCTGGCTAAAGATCTTGGCTAGGCTGCTGATCAACTGAACGCTGTCTCCGTGCCATTCCTTCTTCGCCGACTCCGTCCACACCTTTGGGGACCCCTCGACCTGCTGGGGTTTGACCCCAACAGATTCTGAAAGATAGATATCTTCACAATTACAGCAATAAGTGGCAAATCTGGAACTCTATCCCAAGTCTTCTGGATCTTACCAGGTTCTATTTCTATTCTTTCCGTAAAAAACATAGGGCAAGATTCACTTTATATGAGAATTGTCATGGCAGTTAATTGTAGTTTAAGTGTACTTCACTAAATTATTTTTAGTCTAATTCAAGAAATGAATTCATAAACTCAGATACATTTTCAGATATACCCTTTGCTAGGCAAACTCTTCATAATCTGTACCCAAAACTCAGAAACCAAATAATTTCAGATAGCAAGAATATTACTAATTAGAATACTTGCAGCCTCAACTTTCTGTCTTTATTTTCTAGTCGTATCGTGACCTCAAGGAAGTAACTCCTGAAGGGCTCCAGATGGTAAAGAAAAATTTTGAGTGGGTTGCTGAAAGAGTAGAGGTAAACCTTTTGTTGTAAATCCACACTATATTATGTGTTTTTGTCTTAGAACTTCTTACTTCAAAATAACTGGATCCCTGGATCCCCTGCTATTAAGCTTCCATTACACTTCTCCCAAATCCAATTGAGGAAATCTAGAATCCTTGTTTCCTCCGGCCCCTGCAAGAGAAGTCTTGCATTTCTTACTAACCTCTCCACTGCTACTCAGAGTTCCATTAGCATGGGTTCCATTATCAGAGTTCAGAATTAGAGTTCCTTGTGACATTGAAATGTCACTTTAAGAGCTGTTGTATTGTCATTACTGTGATTCCATGGGAATTGAATAGGATTTGTGGCTATCCAATCGTCATAACTATCTTTCAGATCATCATTTCCATGGGAATATGCATTTGGATTCCTTGTGACTAACTTAAAGATTTATAAAACAACCTCTGTATTTTGGCTGATTATGCCTTAAAACTTCCATTAAACAGACTGTACTAAAAATCTTAGGATAAAATATATTTATAGTTTTCTGAATATTAGTTAGAAGTTGAATATTTATCCATTGCTTATTATAATTAACAGTTTGGTTAAGAAATACTCTTTTGGTTTTAATTATGAGGAACTCTTCTTTATAGAAGTTATTTTGAAAAGTAAATTCTCTTACATTTTGTTGTGTTTATCTTAAATTTGGTCTATTAAAAAATAAAATATTCTGTTCAGATGTATTTTTAGTATAAACTGTAGCTCTGCAAATTAACTCGTTCCAATATTTATCCATTTTTGTCCTTATCTTCTTTTGCTACGCATGTTTTTTTCTTCCAGTTGCTTCTGAAATCAGAAAGTCAGTGCAGGGTTGTAGTATTAATGGGCTCAACTTCTGATCTTGGTCACTGTGAAAAAATCAAGAAGGCTTGTGGATATTTTGGCATTCCGTGTGAACTTCGGGTGACCTCTGCCCATAAAGGACCAGATGAAACGCTGAGGATTAAAGCTGAGTATGAAGGTAAACATCAGATAACTGGAGCATTTCAGGACGCTCTCCACATTTTGCCAAAGAATTTTATGTTTAGACTAGTAATGCTTATAAAAGAGTGGGTTAAAGAGAATGATTTGACAATTCAAGCATAGAAGGAAGATAAAGACTACAATTAGTCTTTATTATTTTTTAAAATATATTTTGACTTTTTAGAGAGAGAGGAAGGGAGAGGGATAGAGAGATAGAAACATCCATGATGAGAAAGGAACATCATCGATTGTCTGCCTCTTGCATACCCCCCACAGGGAATTGAGCCTGCAACCTGGGCATGTGCTCTGATCGGGAATTGAATCAGTGGCCTCTTGGTTCCTGGATTGATGCTCAACCACTGAGCTACACAGGCCGGGCTGTCTTTACCTAATAAGAAGCCCCTCAAACACTATTTCTTAAATACTCCAACAGAAAATAGGGCCCATGTCAATTATGGAAAGCCTGAGGTTGAAGCAGCAGATCTTCTCAAGTATCTTTAATGACCAGCTTTTCCTGGGAGGTAAACATGATATTCAGTAATAAAAGAAATCTCTTGATGAAATAGCAGTGATCTAAAATAATGGAGCCCTAGAGACACGCCCAAATGTTTTTCAACTGGAAAAAATGTTTTTGAATATTCTTTTCAAAGGTTGTTGCTACAAGAGTGAAGTTAAGTTTTTTTAGAGAGGAGGGAAAGGTCTCTTTGATAAAATAATAAAAGCCAGACCTCCAGAAAAATGCAAAGGAGCAATTTATAATTTTATCAAAGAATGAAATGTTTTAGAGATATGTTAGAAAATACATTGAAGGGTTTTAAATGCTTGAGTACTATATTGAATTTGCCTTCAACTCTTTTTTAAACCAAAAGCTCTAGCCTCTGTTACTCTGTTAAAGGACAGTGGTCTGGTGGTGGTGGTGTTTCCTTGAGTCTAAGCAGCAAGTAGAAGTGGGCTTTGAGCCATTCCCTTTAAATTTTGGTACCCGCTCCTCTCCTTTAACCTATGGATCTCAAAGATGGCCAAACCTATTCTTACTACTTCACTGCTTGATGTATAATAAGTGGCAGAGTGAGCCTTATATTTAGAATATAATAATATGTAATATGTTTCTGGAGACTGATGAAGGAACTAAAGGAGTTAAGACACATGGGTCCTTATTTTCAACCTATCTTTAAATATCATTTGACTATTTAGCATAATTATAAACTTGTGACTTCCCTAGGGGATGGCATTCCTACAGTCTTTGTGGCAGTGGCAGGCAGAAGCAATGGTTTAGGACCAGTGATGTCTGGTAACACTGCATACCCAGTTATCAGCTGTCCTCCCCTCACTGCAGACTGGGGCGCTCAGGATGTGTGGTCTTCTCTTCGACTACCCAGTGGTAAGATACATTGAATTTTTAAAAATTCTTTATTAAAAGTTTAAACATGCACAATAGTATAGAGAATAATGTAATAAAACCTTATGTACCCCTTACCCAGCTTCAGCAATTAACATCTTGTTGCATCTGTAGCCCTCTTCTGGATTATTTTAAAGCAGATCTTAGACATTATAACTTTTTATACTTAAACTAGAGGCCCAATGCACGAATTAGTGCACATTGAAAGGAAATGAATTAGAAGAAATATTTTTATATCGCTATTCGCCCTTTCTGTAATAGAAGTGTCAACCAAATTCACAATCAACAATGACAGATCGAAACACACGTGTGCGATTGGTGCCAGCGAGAGCTTTATATGTATCACACATGCGTGAGTCAACAGCCTTTTATAGATATAGAATAAACTTGCTTAATTAGACCTGCTTTCTGATGTAGCTAAACTTTTTCCAGCCCAGTGAAGCAGCCCAACTTCTCTTTCAGGTAATTGTCAGCAACACAGCAGTAAATATCAACATGAAGCAGACTGTTATTGTAGATCATGCAGGGAGAACAAAGGGTAAAATATTTAACTGCAGCAGTGTTTGACTATATTCTGCACAGTGAGAAAACCTGAAGTCATATTCAAGTTCCACAATTTCTTCTTTTCAGTCGGGTCAAGTTTCTAAACTTTCTAAATCTCCGTTTTCTGGCTAATGAAAAGAAAATAGGATTCTACTGAGTCTCCTATCTACCTACTCCAGGACTTCTGTGAGGATCAAATGAGATGAGGCATGGGAAAACGTTTCACAGACATCTGGTTAAAGTGTAAAATGTTTGCACCTGGCGGCTGTAAAGCAAGTCGTGTTCCTGGGCTGAAGAAACTCCAAGGGGCTAGTCACTAGGGAGAGGAAGCTGGGTGTTGCTATGTAACGTCATTACCCGGTGCCCACAGCGACCATTTCTGAGGGCCACATTTTGTGCCATGGGGTCTCGGCAGTGTTGGCTGCAATTTGGTGGGGTGTTGCTCCGGGGTAGTAGAGGAGCCTGTGTCCCATTTGGGGGAAGCCGAGTGTTGCTTTGTGGGCGCCAGGTCTGCAATGCCATTTCTTTGTAAATGGCCAGTGCACATCACAGCAGCTCCTGCATTGAGCATTTGCCCCCTGGTGGCCAGTGCGCATCATAGCAACCGGTCAGACAGTCGGAGGGACACTTAGCATATTAGCCTTTTATATAGAGAGATACTTAAATATACCTAAGTGGTAACGACTCTAGTTTTTAAATCATAAGCTTGACACCATATATACACCTATGAAAAATTAATGGTAATTTCTTAAAATCATCTATTTAGTGTTCATGTTTTCCAGTCTTCTCATTTGTTTATGAATTTTCTTTTAGGAAACTTGTAGGATCTTTTGTCTATCCATTTTTAAATTTCACAAAAGATGTGTCTTGATGAGTCTGTTTTCATTCTTGGCTTTTAGTGAGGGCTTTTACTCCGGAATTCTGATTCTTTTAGTCCTGGGAAGCTTTTTTGATTTACTTAATAATTTCCTTCCCCTTCCATTTTCTTTCGTTTTTTGACTTATTATTCAAATTTGGACCTCCTTGATATCTATTTTCTTTCTCTTGTTGCTATACTTTCTGGAATATTTATAGTAACATCTTTTATTTGAGATTATTGTGTCTTTCACATTGGTTCCTTTCCTCAGCTATGTAGAAAACTGGGACACTGTAACAAGCCAGTTGGAAGCCCTGTGCAGATGGGTGGGGCTTGTCAAAAGTGGGCTCCACTATGGTAAGGCTGTTCTTTGAATAACCTCTCACATCAATGTCTTTCAATCTTTTCTCATGTGTTGCCCAGAATTACCCAGAGTACCTTTCTAGTCTCAGTCTCCTACTTGGAGGAATAAGCTTGGCTGCTAGCATTTGGGAAGCTAGGGATCTTAATATTTGTAAACTTAATCCTGTTTTCACTATGACGTTTCGTGTCTCAGCTATGCCTGGTGTCCTCCAGTCCACAGAATTCTGGACAAGTCTGTTTTGCCTTCATAAAAATTTAAAATTGCCATGGCCCGGAAGGTGCTTGCTTAGGTACATAGGGTGGGGAAGGGAATTTGAGGGGCCAAACTGCTTCTTGATTTCCTTCTTCTCCTTTGCCCCATTTTCACCCCCACTCCTGCCTTCAGATGTGTCTGGTGCCCATAATTCCTCAACCTTTCAGTGGGTTACGTCAGGCTGCTTCTCATCCTTCTCTGCTTCCAGTTTAGGATTAAATTTTCTTGGTATACTAAGTAGTGACCACTCCCTTTGCTTTTCAGCTGTGTTTATGTCTATTTTCTTTATTCCCTTTACTGCTTTTTACACAACTTCTAAGAGACATCTTGTAATTAATCCATCTTTAACTAGGTCTTCAACTAGACATCTACCAACTTCTCAAGTTAGAAATCTATAACTATAAATAAAACTGTAACCAAATCTATACTAGAGGAAATAGTATAGGTATTATCCATGGAGCTTAAAATAAGCTATCCATGGGAATGTGGTAAGCAAAAATTAGATGTTTTTAAACATTTAAAAAAATATATTTTTATTGATTTTGGAGAGGAAGGGAAATGGAGAGAGAGAGAGAATCATCAATGATGAGAGAACCATTGATCGGCTGCCTCCTGCTCGCCCCCACTGGAGATCGAGCCCACAACCTGGGCATGTGCCCTTGACTGGAATCGAACCTGGGACCTTTCAGTTCGAAGGCCAACACTTTATCCACTGAGCCAAACTAGCTAGGGCGCAAAAATTAGATTTTATTTAGTATTGTTCAAGGAAGATTTGTACATTCTGATCACTAGGATTGTGGGATTACCTTTTGAGGAATAGTGTTTCAGTGGCCTGGGTAAAATCCTGAAAACTCCCATTTCTCTTTCTCTTAAAACATGCTCACTAGTTAATCTAATATTTTTTTTCCGCTTCACGTATTTGCCTGTCATCCTTAAGCAGGGGCCATGCTAATATTCGCTTTACTGTCATCTTTGGGATGACACTAAAAGTAAAGTGACTAATGTCACATATGTTAACACAAATTAATAAATTAACCTTGTGATTTAAACTATGTTCCTTTTTTGTAATCCTTACCAAGGATATTTTATATTTTTCCATTGATTATTTTTTTTTTAGAGAGAGAAAGGGTTGGGGAGAGACAGAGAGAAACATCAATGTGAGAGAGACATCGATTGGTCGCCTCCCCACACGCACCCCTATAAAGGGACCACACATTCCCCGGCATCTCCACAAAAAAACAACAACAACAAAAAAAGGGACCACATACTAGGGATTAGGGATCGAGCCTCCAACCGAGGTATATGCCCTTGACTGGGACAGTCCACAGGTTGACGCTCTATTCACTGAGCCAAACCGGCGAGGACTGTAATCTGTTCTTATTGGGGATATTATAGTTAGAGTCAAAGAGCCTAGTGAATTCCAAGAATACTGAGAAAGGGGAGCTTTTGGATTGATTAGATAGCTACTCTTTGACTTTAGTGATGGTCATAAGTACTACCTCAAGAAACCAAAGCTGGGCAAACATGTGGCCCCCAAGGAAGTTAATTTTTTTTAATCTATGGTCATTTCTTTTTTATTATTGATTGTTTATTGATTGATTTTTTTAGAGAGAGACATTGATGTGTTGTTCCATTCATTTATATATTCATTGGTTGATTCTCATATGTGCCCTCACCAGGGATTGAACCTGCAACCTTGGTGTATTTGAGACAACACTCTAACCAAGTGAGCTACACAGCCATGGCTACTCTTCAGTCTTTTAGATCTTATTACTATTAAATTTACTTACAACCTGATACTTATTAAGGTTATGCTTTGGATTTGACTCTTTTACTGCTTAAAAATGTTAGATTAGTTAGAATGTAAAAACAAAAGGAGTAGCTAAGATATTATTAAAACAATTAGCATGCCTCAAGTTTGTCTAAGAACAGCTGTTTCTACCTTCTTGTCCCTTGTTTTTTTCTATTGTCCTTCACCAGGATTTAAAGGGATTGTGTATGTGAAAAGAACTTTGAAAAGGGTAAATATCTTTGCCAGTGAATTCAGAGAGAAAAGTCATAGATAATGCATATAAAATACCTGCTCGTAGCAGATATATATTACTTTCCTCTTATAATCACTTCACCTCCCCAACATTAAGGATAGTAACTCCTTCTGCAGAAATACTTGAAATAAGAATAATACAGTAGTTTTTATTATCTATGGTTAATAGGACTTCTCTGAGTATACAATAGTTTGCTTAAGTAGTACTTTCAGTATTAATTGACAGCTCAATTTTCTGTCTTTTCCTTTCTGAACCAATAGGTCTTGGCTGTTCAACCATACTTTCTCCAGAAGGATCAGCTCAGTTTGCTGCTCAGATATTTGGATTAAACAACCATTTGGTGTGGGCCAAACTGCGAGCAAGTATATTGAATACATGGATTTCCTTGAAGCAGGCTGACAAGAAAATACGAGAGGGCAATTTATAAGAAAAGAACATCGTTGCATTTTTTTAGGAGAAAAACTATAATTTTCTAGTTTATAGAAATTATAGAAAAAACTATAGCAAAATTATAGAAAAAACTAATTTTTTTTCTGCAGAAAAAAAAATCAGGCAAAATGAAAAGATTTTAAATCAGAGAAAACGAAACTTATTAGTGTATAATTGCTTCTCTAGATTCATGGATTAGTAGAATATATGTACATATCTAAAGACATTTTAAAATTAACCTCTTTCCCACTATATGGTCATTGCTAGGTGGGTAACAATCAAATAGATTTCTTAAATGCTAATCATGTCCTATTATAGAGCTCTGAAGACCAGGGGTCCTCAAACTACGGCCCGCGGGCCACGTGCAAATACAAATATTGTATTTGTCCTCGTTTTGTTTTTTTACTTCAAAATAAGATATGTGCAGTGTGCATAGAAATTTGTTCATAGTTTTTTTTTAAACTATAGTCCGGCCCTCCAATGGTCTGAGGGACAGTGAACAAAATTCTAAGGACATGATTTTTTATTTGCAGTCAGTATCTCAGAAAATGGTGTGTATCTTTAGCTATTGATAGACATGTTTTGTTTTCATTTTGATTTTTTTTTTTTCTGAAGAAAAGTTGAGATTGATGGGGAGGGGAGGGAAGACACAAAATAAGATGAAGAGGCAATGTGAAAGCCATGGAAAGGGAACTTTTCTGAGAACTGATGGGTGTCAGAGCACTTTGCCATGGAAAAAAAGTAGAGCCACCTTTGCCTTCAAATGAAAGACTTAGTGAATCTTACTTGGCTATGGTGGGAATCTATGTGGGTCATAAAATTCTTTTAATTCTGATAACACATATTTGAGCCACACTAATCCCAGTGTACCATCATTTTCAAAAATTGGAATCTCCCAGGTGATAACCATAACTAGTTTATTTCTTATAACAGAATAAATCTGAGAAGTGTACCCAGCAAGTTGTTACTGAGAGGTATTATAGTTCACCATCAATCTATAAACCATATAGATTGGGACTCTTATGTTATGCAGCCATGGGGATTTTATAGGTCACTGAACTTTCATCCAAGTGTCCATGAAACCCCTTACACTTGGTATGACTCTTACCAATGACCTACACAGTCTACACTTTTTGCCTCTCAAACATTAACAAACGCATTTCTTACATGACTCTCACCTAATCTCTGGTGGAGTGTGTTTAACTTACCACTCCTTTCCTGGGGTAGACAACAATATATCCCAACATCTCTTGATCATTTCTCTATTACTCTTTCCTCTTAAGTATTGAGACTTTCCATTGTTCACAAATAATGGTTGGATCATCTTCACTGCTCCAGCTAAAACTAGCATCCATTGACTTCCAGCTATGTCTATAAACTTGTATATTCAACTGTCCATCTCTCCCTGTCTGAATGCTCCAAACTTAATTCATCTTCCACCAACCCTGTAACTGGCTGCACTCATTCTCCCAAATCAGAAGCTTGATTTCATCCTCAATGTTTTTCTTGACTTTTCACATTTAACTCATCACCAAATATTGGATTTACCCTGTTTACCCATTCTCTGTGCAAAAGCCGCAAGAACGGGTCAAATTCTACACATGGTGTGACCTAGAAGGACTTCATTCTCAACCCAGCCTTTTTGAAGTTTGTCCAAGGACTTAAAACATACCTTAAATCTCTTTTGCAACATTGACTCCTTTGAAAATATGCTTTTTACCCTCCAGAAAAGTAAACACACTGAAGTTACCAACCGATCCCACTGATGGTGCAGTTCTCTTGAAGTCTACACAAGGACTGTAGGTTAAGTAGGGAACTTGCTCTCAATTATTATACTATCTCTTTTTGGTTCCTTTACTTCTTAGAATGTCCTCATTTCTGTCATTAAAGCTATTCATTAGTTAATAGAACTTTATTTTTACTAACTCCACAAAACATTCCTTAATGACCGCTAGCTCCAGTAGCTACAAGTAGTTCTTTCTCTGTTGGATTGTGAACTTCAAAGGAGAAAATACAGTTTTACACTTCGTTTCCCTCAAACTGCCTCATAGTCTGATATGCTTTGCCTAGCTACCTGAGATGGGGGAATTATGTGCTCTTAATATTCTATGTTGAGGACAATTAAAAAGATTGTTGTTTGAGATCTCTGGGGCTATAACTCTCACCCTCTCTGCAGGGTGATGCAGTGACATAACCACAGTTACAAACGCACAGAGGGCCCTGGAGCCTCCTGGGTTCGTGAAAATGGGGACCACACACATCAGCTGCAGAGACCGTCCTGATTCCCAATCCAGCTCTGCTCCATCCCAGCTGACCTGTGAAATGGGAAGGATGGGCTGGGCTGGCTCCAGGTGGACACTGGCTGGGCGGCAGGGATGACTCTTACCTTCTGCAGTAACAGGAACGGGCCAACAGCTGGCGACAGCCTCTGCCGCTTCCCAAGGCAGGCAGCTGGGGTGGGCAGAAACCACACCACATTACCCTTTAGAAGGGGTAAGTGGGAGGCTGAAGGATGACTTTGGGACCAGGTGGGCAGCCAAATGCCCTGGGAGGCCTGTTCCGCCTGCCACTGTGCAGACTGGTCCCCTCTTGGCCACACTGCGCAGGCCAAGCCCCCCAGGGGCTGGACGTCAACACAGACTGGGTGCTCAGGGCCTTGAGGGGGTGGAGATGGGGAGGAATGGAGGGGGTGTGAGTGAGCAGAGTGCTGGTGTCTGCACCCCTCTATTTAAGGGGTCAACTCACCAGCCCCTCCTAGGCTGGTTTGATGACCCTGGGGCTGCAGGCAGGACCTGGAAGACCAGTGACAGGCTGGGGCATGGGCTCAGCAGGTCCCTGAGCTGCAGGGGATTGCTGAGGGTGCTGTGCTCTGAATGGGGCTCCAGGGAATGAGAGATGCTGCCACCAGGGTGGGGTGGCATGAGGGACTTGGACGAGGCAGCACAGGGGCCAAGCCACATCTCACAGAGCCAGTGTGGGAAGTCAGCCTGTTTGCAGTGGGACTCTGCCAAGGTTATCAGCTGCGAAGGACAGAGGGACAAAGAGCAGCTGCCCAGAGGCACTGGTGCAATAACAGGACCCCTGTCTGCTGGGGGTGAGGGGAAGAATGAAGCCCATCAGAGCAAATGGCCACCGGGTGAAGGGCCGCTTGCCCAGAGGTCACACGTAAAGGAGAAAGGCTCTGTGAATTAATATCCGTATCAGTGTATCAGCCCCTTTAGATAGCTAGCTTGCAAGGTCAGACAGTTAAGTTCATCTTTTCTATTCAAACAAAAAACAAAAAGTTATTTTACAGTCTAAAAATAGCAGAGTTGACCTACAGAATAAGAGACTGTCTAAGAATAACAGAGTAGTTCAAACAGCAGTTTTCCAAAGGAGGGATTACTATGCTTCATTATCTAGAACTCCCTTAACCCCCCTAAAATCTAGGCCTAACTGGTTTGAAACCTGTGACAGTTCCACCTCTCTTCCCATGACTTTTACTAATTCACAGAGACTCTATCCTCCTGAGCTAGAGTTCACTCTACCATTTGTGCTGTTTTTGCATTGTACTATATTGACCAGACATGATATGTTCCAGGCATCACAGAAAAAACCATGAGCCAGAGATGGTTTCTGCCCAAGGAACTCACAGATTAGGGGAGAAATAAGAAGCAAAAAACTCATTCAGTTAAAAAGTTGAGTACCAGGAACAAACAAAAGAGTTGAGGACCAATAATATACCAGCCAGTGTGCTACAAAGATGCTAGCAAGGCTGCTGCAAGTGGGCAAATACGGTTCCTGTTTTTATGGAAATTATAGTCAATGTAGAGAGACGGGCCTTAAACATTGACCAATGCTCAGAAACAGAGAGCTCTATGAAGGTCAAAGAAGTAAGTTTAAAAGCCTGGGACCAGGATGCAGAAATATTGAAGGATGAAAAGTAGTTAGCTAGGTTGCTGGTATAGAGAGGAGAGGGGAAGAGGCAGGATTTAGTAGGACCCTGACAAGATAGGAGTCTATAAAGAGTAGGAGTTCAATAAAATGTCCTGTCATTTCATCAAGTACTCAATAGGTACTCTGTTCTGACATTCAAACACACCTTGATTATTTAATCTTACAAAACCCCTAAACCTCGTCTCTGTGTTGCTTGAGTGCTGTCTATACCAGGATGCATGAATTATCTTTTCTCCCCAGAAGAGTTATATATTATCCCTATTTTGCAGTCAGGAAAATTGAGCCTCTGATAAATTAAGTAACGTGTTCATAGTCTCTAGTGCAAGCATGTCAAACTCACAACAAATATTTTTGCGGGCCAGCCAATATAACGGTATGTACGAAACGTTTTAATAAAAATTTCGTAACTTAATTTTTACAATATCCTGTTATACACAATTATTAAGAATGAACTACAACCTTCGATAATGAATGATTACTATAATCGTGTTGCATTCATTTCCCTTACGCACTTTATGCGCAGGTGCACCATTTCTCTCCACTAATACTAGCAGCAAATATTTTAGCAGCCGATTGCCACATCATTAGTCTTGGACTGACTTGTTTGGTGTGCGCAACAGGAAATACTTCGCTTTCGGAGAACAAGAAAAATAGGTTTATTGTGTTACACTTACTAATTTGTGCCGTTATTCAGTGTCTGGTAAGTTAATGTTCAAGAAAAAGCATTTTTATTAAAATCTTTTATATTTTATGTTAACAATGACTCATTTATTTCAGCCCTTTCTATTCAGCATGTCTCTATGGAACAAAACCTATGTTCCTATGAAAATTGAAGCTTTTTTTTTTTTTTTTTGGCCCACATAAACTTAAACCCTATTTGGCCCATGGTAGCCTTTGAGTTTGACATGCTTGCTCTCGTGAGTCTTAAAGCCAGGAACTAACCCGGACATTCTCACCCGAAAACACTGCCTTTCCTGCCTTACTTTCGACTGCTCCTAAACTGGAGCCCAAAGGGCAGCCAAAGGGTTTCACCACATGTTGCCCTACCCGGTTTGGCTCAGTGGATAGAGCATCGGCCTGCGGACTCAAGGGTCCCAGGTTCGATTCTGGTCAAGGGCATGTACCTTGGTTGCGGGCACATCCCGGGTAGGGGGTGTGCAGGAGGCAGCTGATCGATGTTTTTAACTCTCTATCCCTCTCCCTTCCTCTCTGTAAAAAAATCAATAAAATATATTTTTTAGCCAGAACCGTTTGGCTCAGTGGATAGAGCGTCGGCCTGCGGACTCAAGGGTCCTGGGTTTCGATTCTGGTCAGGGGCATGTACCTTGGTTTCGGGCACATCCCCAGTGGGGAGTGTGCAGGAGGCGCCTGATCGATGTTTCTCTCTCATCGATGTTTCTAACTCTCTCTCCCTCACCCTTCCTCTCTGTAAAAAATCAATAAAATATATTAAAAAAAAAAAAAAACCAAAACGATCCAGTGATAGGCTAAATATGCTTGAGAGTTTCAGTAAGTTGATGTAAAAATTAAAAAAAAATATATATATATATATATATTAAATTAAAAAAAACATATATATATATTTTAAATTTAAAAAAACGAGAGAAACCAAGATGGCGGCATAGGTAAACACCGGAGTTTGCTGCCTCGAACAACCACTTCAAAAATACAACTAAAAGACGGAACGGACATCATCCAGAACCACAGGAAGGCTGGCTGAGTGGAAATTCTACAACTAGAAGGAAAGAGAAAAGCATACCGAGACTCAGAGGAGGCGCAGTGCGGAGGTGAAATACTAAGGTGCAGAGGTGCATGAGGAGCGGGCTGGCGGCTGAGGGCGCGGTTGTCGTTTTCAATCGGGAGGGAGTCTCAGGCTCTGAGCTCCAGTTCCGGGCGAGTCTCTAGGGACCCAGACTCATACGGGAGAAGCGGGACTGTCTGGCATCGCTCAGAACCCTAGGGCAGCTTTCTCTGCGTGGGGCTTGCAGCGATTACCTGGACATTGAGAAGCAGAGCCTCTGAGGCCAAGTCTGAGAGCAGCCATAACTGCTAGCCCCGCCCTGTTGATCCCGTGGGACCCGCCCCGCCCAAGCCCTGCAGGGAGGCTTTTGCTGATAGCTGCAGGCAAAGGCTAGATTAGCACCTCCCTAGAGATGCAGGAGCCAGGAAGCCTAGAGGTCAGAGTGGGACCATCCAGTTTGCAGCTCCGTGGAACCATAAAAGACACACTCAGGGGGCAGACTCAGTGAGCACCAAAGCCCCATTGAAGCAAGTCTTGCCCCAGAGGGGTGTTTCCAGCACAGAAGTTCTCCCACTGCAGACACAGCTGATTCTCACAGCCAATTGGCCTGGAGGTCAATTCCTCCCAGTGATACCTACAACAATCAAGGCTTAACTACAACAAGACTGTGCACAAAGCCCACAAGGGGGTGCACCAAGAGTGTCTACCTCAGGTAATTGGGACACTTAGCACAGAAAGGCACTCAATCAACACAGTGAAGCATAAAAAAATGCTGAGACAAAGAAACAGGACACAAATGGCAGAAATGGAGGAAAGCAAAATGCTGGATATAGAGTTCAAAACCACACATTTAAGGTCTTTAAAGAACTGTTTAGAAGCCGCCAATAAATTGAGTAAGGCCTTCGAAAAGACTGGTGAGACTGCCGATAAATGTAGTGAGATCTTCGTAAAGACTGGTAAGAGCGCCGATAAATGTAGTGAGATCCTCAAGAAATCTAGTGAGACCCTCGATGTTGTGATAAAGGACCAACTAGAAATTAAGCATACACTGACTGAAATAAAGAATATTATACAGACTCCCAACAGCAGACCAGAGGATCGCAAGAATCAAGTCAAAGATTTGAAATACAAAGAAGCAAAAAACACCCAATTGAAAAGTAAAATGAAAAAAGAATCCAAAAATACGAAGATAGTGTAAGGAGCCTCTGGGACAGCTTCAAGCGTACCAACATCCGAATTATAGGGGTGCCAGAAGATGAGAGAGAGCAAGATATTGAAAACCTATTTGAAGAAATAATGACAGAAAACTCCCCCCACCTGGTGAAAGAAATAGACTTGCAAGTCCAGGAAGCACATAGAACCCCAAACAAAAGGAATCCAAAGAGGACCACACCAAGACACATCATAATTAAAATGCCAAGAGCAAAAGACAAAGAGTATCCTAAAAGCAGCAAGAGAGACAAGTCAGTTACCTACAAGGGAATACCCATACGACTGTCAGCTGATTTCTCAACAGAAACTTTGCAGGCCACAAGGGAGTGGCAAGAAATATTCAAAGTGATGAAAAGCAAGAACCTACAACCAAGATTACTTTATCCAGCAAAACTATCATTCAGAATTGAAGGTCAGATAAAGAGCTTCACAGATAAGGAAAAGCTAAAGGAGTTCATCACCACTAAACCAGTATTATATGAAATGCTGAAAGGTATCCTTTAAGAAGAGGAAGAAGAAAAAGGTAAAGATACAAACTTTGAACAACAAATACACATCTATCAACAAGTGAATCTAAGAATCAAGTGAATAAATAATCTGATGAACAGTATGAACTGGTGATTATAATAGAATCAGGGACATAGAAAGGGAATGGACTGACTATTCTTGGGGAGGAAAGGGGTGTGGGAGATGCGGGAAGAGACTGGACAAAAATTGTGCACCTATGGATGAGGACAGTGGGTGGGGAGTGAGGGCGGAGGGAGGGGTGGGAACTGGGAGGAGGGGAGTTATGGTGGGAAAAAAGAGGAACCAATGTAATAATCTGAACAATAAAGATTTAATTTAAAAAAAATTAAAAACAACAACAAAGGGTTTCACCACATGTGCTTAGCACTTGGAGATTCTTTTCTTCTGTGCCTTTGCCCATATTCCCTTCTCTTCTGAACTTTACTCAAAACCAACCTCAGGTTTTCCTATTATCTTTCAAAACCCCCTTCAAATGTCAATTCCCCTATGAAATACTATCAAGCAGCAAGAAACCGTCTCTCTTTCAAACGACTCTCTACGTTTCTAGTTGGTATGTTACCACCCCCATAGGCCTTTTTAAAAATTTCTTTATTGATTAAGGTATTACATGTGTGTCCTTATCTCCCCCCCACCCCCCGCCCCCACTCGCGCCCCTAGACCTTTTATTTATCTTCCATAGATCGTTGCCCAGCTCCGGCGTGGGGGTACCAGGACGGCTTCGCACGGTGCTCTGAGCGGAACCTGTCTTGTAACCCGTTCTCAACCCGCCCCCGGGGTCCCACGGCTCAAGCCTCCTTCAGGAAAGGTGCACCCACTTTATCCACGAATTTCTAGCAACTACCGAGTAAGATATGGCCTCTGACGCTGACTCGGATACAGGCGCTTCCGACTCTGACCGCTTAGCAACCACCGGCTTCCTCCCCCGCTGGCCGCCTCCGAGATCCTTTTCCGGGGCAGAGGTCATCCCGTCCCGCCCGCGTTTCCTCCAAGATGGCGAGCGGCGGCGGCGGCGGCGCTGGGGGGGTTTCGGTGCCTGCGCTCTGGAGCGAAGTGAACCGTTATGGCCAGAATGGTGACTTCACGCGCGCTCTCAAGACCGTCAACAAAAGTAAGTGTCAGGGCTGGCGCCGGGGCGGGCCGGCCGGCGGAAGGATGCGGGCTCCTTCCGGCGCGCGCGACCACCTCTGAGTAGATGCGGGGGCGGGAAGACCCCGCCGCCAGTCCCGGGCTCGAACCCCGGGCGGCCGTGGTGGCGTGTGGTCGCGGCTCGGGCTGCCAGAAACCAGCCCTGGGTTTGGGGGTGTTTAGAGCCACGTGTACTTCCCTCTTGACACCCCTCGGGAAGCGAGGGAGGGATTTAAAGAGACCGCTGCTGCCAGCGCCTCATCCGAACTGTTCTCTCCTGGGACGCCTCTGTTTTCACGCCTGATTTCGCAAATATCCCCCATTACCTTCCCTTCGCCCATTTCACGGAGCGATCGGATCAGTGCTGTTGCCGGGGGAGCTCGTTCCCTGGGGCCTGCGCGCGGGGAGGAACCTGCCTGTGACACGTACCGGAGAAGCGGGTGCTGACGAGGTGGGAGCCGCGCGGCCGGGGAGCAGGACGGGCTGCATGTGTCCGCCAGGCCCGCGCCCCGCAGACGCTCTCCCCGTGTTATTAGCCCGGAAAACGCCTGTGAAAGCACTGACAGTTGAAATCACGTCGGAAGGAACATCTGGCCTGTTTGGTTTTTTGTGTGTGTCCCATAACTGATAATTTCCGATAAACTGCCTTCGGTATGAAGTTTATTCATTATGTTCTCCTATCCTTTACTACAGTGGGGCCTTGACTTACGAGTTTAATTCGTTCTGAGACCGAGCTCGTTAAGGAGCTCGTTAACTCAAATTACTCTATCAACTCAATGCAAAAAATCAGCCGAGAGACAGCTGGTATCTCAAAAAACTCGTTAGTTGGGACACTCGTAAGTCAAGGCCCCACTGTACTTAACTGTAACATGGCTGTGCTTTTTAATGCTCTCTGTCGTGCTAAATTCTTCATTGAAGATGCCGCCTATATTTGGTAGATTTGGAAATGGAATTAACAGGACAGAGTTTTGCTATTTAAAGCAGTAATGACGTACAAGGTATGTAAGTACAATACAAGGTTGTATAAATAATTTTCACCAGCCTGTTGTTGGTTTAATGTGAAAAGAAGTGATTGTGCTCACAATACATTTTTTTTGTGTGATTTCCCTCATTGAGGGAAATAGATGCCAATTAGAATTATTTGATTCCTAAACTTGTTTTGAATTAAGGTTAGCTTTTGGCTAGGCCTGCAGCCAATGCTACTCAGTCACAATGAAGTAAGTTATAAGAACTATTTTAAAAAAAAATATATTTTATTGATTTTTTACAGAGAGGAAGGGAGAGGGATAGAGAGTTAGAAACATCGATGAGAGAGAAACATCGATCAGCCGCCTCCTGCACACACGCTACTGGGGATGTGCCCGCAACCAAGGTACATTCCCTTGACCGGAATCGAACCTCGGACCCTTGAGTCCACAGGCTGACGCTCTATCCACTGAGCCAAACCGGTTAGGGCAGGAACTATTTTTTATTATTTTTTATTTTAATTTCTTTATTGATTAAGGTATTACATATGTGTCCTTATTCCCCCATATAGGAACTATTTAATCAGCAGCTCTCATTTTGTTATCCAGTACAGTATATATTTTCTTCAATGGCAGAAGCCTTTAACACTTAGCTGGGTTCTTGCACTTGCCCAGGGGGAAGGGGAGTGATCCTAGTCATTTTGACAATGAACAGGTGTTTAGCATTGAAACTTGGCTACCTGACTCCTTCCTTGTACTTCTCTTTGGTCATCTTAGGTGAAAAGGGAAATTCTGAATGTCCTTTTGAAACTATTGCCAGCAAGATAAATTGCATTTGTATACTTTACAGCTTATAAATATCGCCAAAATATTCTCATTTCATCTTCTTGATAACCTTGTGAAATAGGTAATGCTTTCATACTCGTCTTGCACATCAGAAGATTGAGATTTGTAGTTAGATGACTTGCCCAAGACCTCAAGGCATCTAATGACAATCTTGTACTCAAAACTAAATTTGTTTCCAAATTCTACATGAGTTTTCTTCTTTCCCTGTAAAGTAATGAAATATGTAGGATGTAGCATGCATCCCAAGATGAAAAAGTCGTACAAAACAGCTTTTTCCTTGCTTCTTTGTAACTCTCCTTTTATCACTTCTTAAGCTAAAAATGAAGATTCCCTCTTTTAAAAGAAAATGTTTGACAAATCATTTTTGCTGCAATACAATTGGAAATGCAATTTCCTGAGGCAGGGAGTGGGAAAAATTAGTAAAAATGTGAAAAGGGAATAGATTTAAATATTCTCTTCCTAAATTGTTTTGTAGTACTGCAGGTCAACAAGGATGATGTAACTGCCCTACACTGTAAAGTGGTATGCCTTATCCAGAATGGGAGTTTCAAGGAAGCCTTGAACATCATCAGTTCTCATACCAAAGTGTTAGCCAAGTAAGTGATTCAGTTGGTTGCTTGTGCAGTTATTAGAAACAGTTTTACCATAGCTACATTTATTTATTTCACCACTATTCAGTGATTTTTTTTACCTGTTTATTTCTTTTTTTCTGTTAATTCCCAGTTGTGTCTGTGAAACTGGATGGAGTAATAGTAATTTTGTTCTTTACTGCCTTGCTGAGCCTTTTCTTTGCTCCATCTTTCCTTAGAACCACTAAGAAGGAGGTAAATTGTGGAGAGATGTGGAGCACAAATATAACAGAGGACATAGGGAGAACATCTTAGCAGAAAGTTTAATTTTTTTAAAAAATAGGGGGCAGAGAGGGCAGACGTGTGGTAGGGCAGTATTATAAGTAGAGGTCTCTGGGATGGTTTTAGCTGGACTTCTGTGCCTACCTCCTTTGGGAATTGTTTAGGTGAGTTTGATCATAGGCCAAGATCTTTCACTGTCAGCAGTCTTGAGACTGGTAGTATTTTCATTATTGTGAATATTTTTCACTTATTTATCTCATTTATCTTTTCATGAAATGTGAACTTATATTCTGAATTGTTACTCTAATTTGATTTTTTTTTTAATAGTTGTGTATAAGCCCCAAAGAAATGTGTATTGAAGTGAAGTTTGCAGCATATTTCTTTAATTAAAGATTCTGGTTTATAAAGTGCAGAGCAGTATATAGTATACTTCCTATTGTATAAGAAAAGGAGGATATTAGAATTTATATGTGTATTTTTCTGTATGTGCCAAAACAAACACTAGCTAGAGAAACATGTGTAAAAATAGTCACTTGTAGCCCTAGCCGATTTGGCTCAGTGGGTAGAGCGTAGGCCTGTGGAGCAAAGGGTCCAGGTTGGATTCCGATCAAGGGCAAGTCCTTGTTTTTGCAGGCTCCTCCCTGGTCTCACATTGATGTTTCTGTCTTTCCCTCTTTCTTCCACACTCTCTAAAAATCAATGGAAAAATATTCTTGGGCGAGGATTAACAACAACAAACAAACGAAAAACCAAACAAACAAAATAGTCACTTGTAGGAGGCGAGGAGGAACAGGGTAGATTTGTAAAGCAGTGGGAGTAAAACCTCTTAGTGTATAGCTTTTTTTAAATTTGAGCCAAATACATGTATTACAGATTGAAAACTTATTTTAAAACTATTAAAAATAAAGGGGAAATAAAGGAGCACTGCTTTCTTCTAGTAAATATGTTTATGTTGAAATTCAGTATTTTGAGTTTTGACCATTTTGTGAGGTTGAGAAATTTTGAAATAATTTTTGTTAGGCAAGTAAGTAAAAGGATATTGCTTTTATACATATTTTTCCTTATTGGTTATGGATGAAATTTCAAAATGCATTTCATCCACTATAGTCCACTCTAGTTTCAGGTGTCACATTAATGTAGATGAAGTTTTAGGTCTATGTATGCTAAGTAGTGTATTTGTTGTGTGTTTACCAGTTTGGATACAAATACTATGTTCCTTTAAGATTTCCAGTTACTTTTTCTTACTAATCACGTACTTCTTGAACAAGTTAAAAGCATTATGGCTTATTATTTGATAAATAGATTTAAGAAACTTCTATAATAATTTAAAATAGTGTTCAGATTGTCTGTGTACCTGAGACAATTATTTAGCTGATGCATTATTTCATTCTTAAATGTTTATTTCAGAAGGCCAGTAATTCTAATAAGAATATCCATGAAAGCAAGAAAGGCTAAGGAAATGGATATAATATTTTCTGCCACTAATGAGCTGTCTGACTTTCAAATAAGTCACTAACCTTTGTCAGCTTCCTCATCTCTTTTTAATGGGAATTGAATAATAATATATATCAAGCGCTTAGAGCAGTATCTAGCATATAGTGAGTGCTCTGCTATGTGAGCTAATAATCAGATATTGTTTTTTTCCTTTTCAGTAACTCTCTTTCTTTTGAGAAGGCATATTGCGAGTATAGGCTGAACAGAATTGAGAATGCCTTGAAGACAATAGAAAGTGCCAACCAGCAGACAGACAAACTAAAGGAGCTTTATGGACAAGTGGTAATTACTGTTTTTAAATACCTGTTGACAACCATCCTGAGTGAGCATGACTCTACCTGTAGCAAGGAGTACGGATGAGGAACCTGATGCTCCACAAAACTTGCCACCAAACTAGTTTTTAAGGTTTCAACATATTCCCTCTTCTTAATCTTCATGCAAAAGTTGCATATATAATGTTCTATGAACAAGTGATTTCCTCAGGGTAATTTAAAGTTAAGAACTATCCTGTGAAATTTGGACTTTTTTTTGTTTGTTTGTTTAAATTTGGACTTTTTAGTTGGAAAGGAGCTTATATGCTTAAGCAGTTTAAAAACTGTAATTCTAGTTTTTAACTATTTTAAGTTTAAAATAAAATCATAATTTGGATAAATTCAGCTGGTTCGTGAAAATATCTTATTTTAAAATATCTTATTTTTACATGTTTTGAGACATATAATTAAGCCTAATGTAAAATAGGGCTTTTAATGATAAGATGATAGAAATGTTATATTAGAACTAGCAAAACCCTCTTTAAATATTTTTAAAATGTCAATTTGGGACAAATAATGAGGAATTGACTGTATTGTTCCCAAGAGGTAATATGAGTTTAAGAATATAAATGGATTGAAAAAAGATTTGGGCAAGTTCATAGATTGTAAAAATAATCTTTAAGGTAAGCTGGATCAATGTAAGGTAAATTCTGGCACTTTGAGACTGATGAAGGGCACCAGTCTCTGTCTTATATAGTGAACTAACTGACTCACAGTAATGGTCTTTTAGGACAACTTCAGTGAAATAAGAAGGAATCATGTTGTGTGTACGTCATACTATCCTATACGATTGCTGGCTTCTGGGAAAGAGAAAAATGAAGATTAAATACAGTGAACTGGAAATATTAAGTCCTTTTGTTAATATCTAATTTTGTTCCTGTTTATTGGAGTTTAGTAGTTGCTCTGTGTTGTGGGAAATTTTTTTCATTATAAGTCAGACTTAGGTAATGGTGATTTCTATTACAGAAAGGTTTTCTTTCACACCCCACTTAGGCATTTACCTAACCTCAAGAAGAGGTAACTACAATGACTGTTTCTAGCTGAATGATTCCTGCAAATCTGCAGTGTAATAGAAATACATTACAAGTAACTTTTTGGAAGAACTAGTAGTATGTGGAGCTAAATGGAAAATTATAACGGAAAAATGGTTGATTGCCGATGTTATGCTGAATTCGTTTTCCTTCTTAGTGGTTTCAAAAAGGGTTTGTATAGTGTTAGAGACATAAAACTATAGTTCTCCTCTGATTTTTTACTTGTTATTTGTCTCTTCAGTTATACCGGCTAGAACGCTATGATGAATGCTTAGCTGTGTATAGAGATCTCGTCCGAAACTCCCAAGATGATTATGATGAGGAGAGAAAAACAAACCTTTCAGCAGTTGTTGCAGCTCAAAGCAATTGGGAAAAAGTGGTTCCAGTAGGTATCCCTGAGCCCCCACACAGCCATGAAATGATATTCCTGTCTAGTGTTTGATTGGTATTTTGTTCCATGACAGGAGAACTTGGGCCTCCAAGAAGGCACACATGAACTCTGCTACAATGCTGCATGTGCACTGATAGGACAAGGCCAGCTGAGTCAGGCAATGAAAATCCTACAAAAAGCTGAAGGTTGGAAATTTATTAAAATCATTTATAATTGTAATGCATATACAATTTTGCAAAGTATTTACAAAAACTGCACTCGACTTTCTTGACGTTTTTAAGGTGGGAATTTCTCAAAGTTCTAGCTTTTTTTCTTGGGTTTTTGACAATATCTTTTCTCTGTTTCTGTCTAATTCATAAGTCATATTACTTGTTCATTTTCAACAACACTGGATCTTAAAATATGAATTTTGAGGAAGAGGTTTTTAGACAAGTTACTGTGCATGTTAAATGTAAATTGAGTTAATTAATGTCAAGCACTTAAATTAGTACATGGCATCCTCCTATATAATAAAAGGCTAATATGCAAATAGACCAAGCGGCAGAACGACTGGTTGCTTTGATGCACATTGACCACCAAGGGCAGACGCTCAACGCAGGAGCTGCCCCCTGGTGGTCAGTGCGTTCCCACAGGGGAGCGCTCAGCCAGATGCTGGGCTCACAGCTGGCGAGTGCAGCAGCAGTGGCGGGAGCCTCTCCCGCCTCCACAGCAGCGCTAAGGATGTCCGACTGACGGCCTATGTCAGTTGGGCATCCCCGGTCAGTCAGACACCCCTGAGGGCTCCCAGACTGCGAGAGGACGCAGGCTGGTCTGAGGGACCCTTCCCCCCGCCGAGTGCACGAATTTCGTGCACTGGGTCTAGTCCTATATAATAAAAGGCTAATATGCAAATTGTCCCCTTGGGAGTTCGATTGCTCGCTATGACCTGCACTTACCACCAGAGGGCAGCACGGAACATGGCTGGAGACCAGCAGCAGTGGCTGGGCTCTAAGGGAGCGAGGGAAGGAGGAGGCGGGGAGGTCAGGAGGCAGGGAACCTGATCGGCCCTGATCGCTGGCCAGGTCTAGGGACCCTACCTGTGCACAAATTTTGTGCACCAGGCCTCTAGTATAATATAAGCATTCAGTAAATATTAGTTATTATTGTTATTAAACAGGTACTCAAGTATATCAAGTATAATAATATGGTGTGCCTTATGTGTGTATATATGCACACACACTATATTTATACATTGATAAAACTATTCAAGCACATTTTTCACTCCATGTAGTATGTTTCCATATACAATATTTATGTGTTTAAGCTTTTTTAAAAGATGTTTTTTAAACTTCACACACTTTATTATTTTATTTATTTTTAATATTCCATGCGTTTTAAAATTTATTTGTTTTCCTTTTTATTGAATATTGGAGTGACACTGATTAACAAAATTATACAGGTTTCGGGTGCACTGTATTGTGTGTTCACCACGTCAAGTCAAGCCTCCTTTTATAATTATCAGTTAATGCCCCATATCCTTCTTCAATCCTTCTTTCCCCAGCAGTCCCCACACTGTTGTCTATGTCCATGAGTTTTTCTTCTTCTTTTTTTCAATCCCTCAACCTTTTCCCAAAGTCCCACCCCCACCCCCAGTAGCTGTTAGCCTGCTCTCTGTCCATGGGTCTGTCTCTGTGTTGCTTGATAGTTCGTTTTGTTCATTAGATTCCACCACATATGAGTGAAATCATGGTACTTGTCTTTCTCTGATGGCTTATTTCACTTAGCATAATGCTCTCCAAGTCCACCCATGCTGTTGAAAGGGTAAGATTTCTTTTCTTTATGGCTGAGTAGTATTCCATTGTGTAAATGTACCACAGCTTTTTTATCCACTCTTCTACTCATGGGCACTTGTGCTGCTTTCAAATCTTGACTGTTGTGAATAATGCTGCAGTGAGCATAGGGGTGCATGTATTCTTTGAAATTAGTGTTTTGGATTTCTTTGGATATATTCCCAGAAGTGGAATTTTTTATTTTTTTGAGGTAACTCCATACTGCTTTCCACAGTGACTGCACTGATCTACATTCCTACCAGCAATGCATGAAGGTTCTCTTTTCTTCACATCTTCGCCAACACTTGGTTGTTGATTTATTGATGATAGCCATTCTGACAGGTGTGAGGTGATATTTCATTATGTGTCCTCTTTGGAGAACTGTCTATTCAGGTCCTTTGCCCATTTTTTAATTGGATTGTTTAGGTTTTAACTGTCTATTCAGGTCCTTTGCCCATTTTTTAATTGGATTGTTTAGGTTTTTTTGGGCATTGAGTTTTTTAAGTTCATTATAAATTTTGGATTTTAACCCCTTATCAGATGTATCATTGGTGAATATGTTCTCCCATTCAGTGGGTTGTCTTTTCATTTTGTTGATGGTTTCTTTTGTGCAAAAACTTTAGTTTGATGTAGTTCCATTTGTTTATTTTTTCTTTTGTTTCCCTTGCTTAAGGAGATATACCAGGAAAAATATTGCTATGAAAAATGTCCGAGATTTTACTGCCTATGTTTTCTTCTAGGATTTTTATGGTTTCAAGTCTAACACTTTAAGTCTTTAATCCATTTTGAGTTTATTCTTGTATATGGTGTGAGAAGGTGGTCTAGTTTCATTGAAGCTTTTAATTAGAAAAAGGAAATGATGTATTAGAAAACTTATGTCTGGTCTTAACTCATTTTAAAATTTGCATATCCTTTGATCCAAGAATTTTATTTCTAGAAATTTATCTTAAGGAAATAATTAGATAAGTTCATATATGTATCTGTATGAATTCTATTTGAAGAGATATTCTAAGAAAAAAATGTATAGTCATCTTGGGTTTCTGTTCTATTAGAGCACTGGTTAGGTCTTACTATAACACCCAAAGAGATCACCATGTAGTCATTAAAAATTATAATGTTAAAAATAATAAAAATGTGGACCTATATTTATTATAATATAAAGATGTCCATAGTATATTAAATGGGGGAAGATTTCAAAATATTGTGTAGACTATCCCACTTTCATTTTAAAACGCAGCTGTACGTTTACATTTAAAAAAATCCAATAACTAAAATGCTAATAGTTATTATCTTTGGGTGGTGGGATTATTGTCTTTATACTTTTCTGAAATTGATTTTTTGTAATCAATATTAATATTTTAATACCCTTTAAGTGATTTTTTAAACATAGAGATTACAAATGAATGAAAAGTGTCCAAGAGCTAGAATAATAAGGGACTAATATCTGTTATAGTTGATGCTAATGATAAATTTCAAATTAACTTGTTATTAAAATTATCTTGATATCTTCTTGCTCTTTAGAATGGTGAAAGGAATGGGAGTTACCCAGCACTGTTAATTTTAAAACTATTTTTTCCTGTAGATCTTTGCCGCCGTTCATTATCAGAAGATTCTGTAAGTACTCCACTGTTGTTAAACCCAAAATTTTACACTTCTGACTAATATAAATTTGTAGGGGGCTTTGTTATAGTATTGATTGACTTTTTTGAATAGATGGTGATTCATTGAATAGGAATCACAGTAGAAAACCTCTTGATCAATTATTTGAGGGCATCTCTTAGGGTGAGAAATGACAATACAAAAGTTGTTTTATTTTAAATTCACATAAATATAAAATAATTCTGCTATTTAAATATAGGGCTCAAGTCTTTGAGTCTGGGTCTATTCATAGGAATTTTGTGCATATATCTTACATAATCCAGCATTCATGATTCCATTTCCAGTTTTGTTTTTTAAATGCAACACTAAAAGACAATTGTGAAGTAATTTCGTTACAGTCCTTGTAAATGTTAACTTTTTCACTGTCTTACCGTTTTCTGGCTCATGTCTAATTAGACAATAATTTTCTTTAGGAACCCACTTTTATCAAATACTTCTGAGCATTCAACATAGTTTTTATTGAAATGAGTCTCTTTTCACACTCATAGTTCTCCTCTTATGATAATTAAGTTTTACCATTTGCTTGTCTAACATAACTGGTATAATGGGATTAGAAGCAAACACATCTGACCACTAGTCAGCATACATTCACCAGGTGAGAGCAGGAGTGCTGGGTGTGGTAAAAAAGAACAGCTCCCTACCCTTGAGCATTCATTTTATGTAAGCAGCATCAGTCAACTTTTCCAGAGGAATGGAGAATATGGATTAATCTGGAGTGTCAGTTAAGAGAGCTGCTGCTTTAAATACAGAATTAGTTTCTGCTTTTGAAGTTCTTTGTATGGTGATAATTAGTTAGGATTTTGTAAACTTTCCTCTTGGTGGCAATTCCTAAATTTTAACAAATTGAATCTAAGGGAAAATTCCTGAAAATTCCTATGTCTTACTTAGGGTTTTGTACCTTTTGAATGTTTGGGTCACTTAGTAAATATGTGGAGCAATTTGGAGAATTTACAGGGGGAAAAACGTTTCTTCTTCTGCTTAGGATGGGACTGAGGAAGACCCACAGGCAGAACTGGCCATCATTCACGGGCAGATGGCCTATATTCTGCAGCTTCAGGGTCGTACAGAGGAGGCTCTGCAACTTTACAATCAGATAATAAAACTAAAGTGAGTTATTAAAATGAAGTGTCTTTTATAGGGGAGGAGGTTTCTTTTTAAAGGTTTGTTCCTTTTTGACTTGCTTATTGTTCACAGGCCAACAGATGTGGGATTGCTAGCTGTGATTGCAAATAACATCATTACCATTAACAAGGTAGGAAATATGCATGCCTATCCCTACACTTATATTTTAAGCTGAAAGCATATTACCTGGCTTTGTTCTAGGATAAGTAGGTTGTTGTTTTTTGTGTTTTTTTTCTATGACAGAGTCCAAAATTACAGCAAATCACAATAGTGAGTTACTTAACTCATAATGATGATGATTATGCAAAGTATATTCAAGTAATAAAACTTTTTTGTAGTTACAGATCCTGGACTTTAAAATCTTACTATTTTCTTAGTTTATAATAATATGGAGAATCTCTGTTAGAAAAGTAAGATGTTTGGACTTTTGTACTGTATGAATGCATGTTTTATATGATACTTCCATCTAGTGAGTCAGAGTTTTCTGTAGAGAATATTTTTCTTTCCAGTGGCTTTTATTTTGGGGGAGATTTGAAATTCAGGTTAATAGAAAATAACAGTAACATTTGTGGGGGGTTTTGATATGCTGTGTGATTTTTTTTCAAGTGCCATCTTATTTTATCCTCAATTATGTGGCAATAAGTATTTCCATTTTATAGGAGTATAATCTGAGGCTGAAAGGAGTTAGATAATTTGTATAAGATCACAGCTAGTAAGAGGTAGAACTTGGATTCAGATTCTAGTCTCTGATTCCAATGCTTGCTCCTTCTAGCCCTTCATGGTACCTCTCTCCTCTTGTATGTACATACATACATATATACGTACTGGCTAGTTTGTAAAAAAGAATCGGTTAGAGTGAATGATATCAAGGTGGGAGGCCTTGAAAATTAAAATGTTGAATAATAAGTGCCATGATAGCAAAGTTTAAGAGAAATCTGGCAGTGGCAGGCATGATAAAGTATTAAAGTAGTGTTATAGGAAGACCAACTAGAAATACGGTTTTTTGAGGACTGATTTATATGAAAGCCATTTTCTTGCTTTGCATTAAAATAATTTCATTGGTTTGGAGCTTCACATTCAGAAAAAGTAGAATTTATTTTAGATTTCTTCTTTGCCTCCTTTTAGTCTTTAAACTGCTAGAAGACCTAGCTTAAAAAGCACAGTATCAATTATTTGCAAATAACTATATCATTTAGCAAAGCTAGAATACTGTGCACATAGTAGACACTCTGATGCTCAGCTTGTTCTTCTTAGGATGGAGTGTGTCTTAATTATCTTCCTTGAAAAGTATGACTTTCTTTAGGCAGATAACATTGTGTTTGCTCCACACAGAAATTCAGCTTTTTTGTACCTCTGCCCAAGTGAGAGGACTTTAAGAAAAGAGAAAACAATAGCTATGTTACATTAGTATTTTTTGTTAAAATGGGTTCAAGAGAGGTGTGAATATATTTCTGAATTTTATTTTATTTTTTTTAAATATATATTTTATTGATATTTCACAGAGAGGAAGGAAGAGAGATAGAGAGTTAGAAACATTGATCAGCCGCCTCCTGCACACCTCCCACTGGGGATGTGCCCGCAACCAATGTACATGCCCTTGACCGGAATCGAACCTGGGACCCCCTAGTCCACAGGCCGACGCTCTATCCACTGAGCCAAACCGGTTACGGCATATTTCTGAATTTTAATGATTTGCTTACACATGTCAGTATTTCAAAGAGGAATGAGTTACTTTCATCATTTGTCATCTAAATTCTAAAGGGCATAATTTGTAGAACTTGTAAATTTAGATAATATTGTAGTCCTAATTTCTGCTGCAAGATTTGTGCTTACCCCTGTGTACTTTTCTTCAAAAAACTCAAAGCAGCCCGGCCAGTGTGGTTTAGTGGTTGAGTGTCATCCCATGCACCAAGAGGTCACTGATTTGATTCCACTCCGGGCACATGCCCAGGTTTCAGGCTCCATCCCCAATAGGGGGCATGCAAGAAGCAGCTGGTTGATGTTTCTATCTCTCCCTTTCCCTTCTCTAAAAATCAATAAAAACATTTAAAAAGCTCAAAACAAGCATGTACTAGTGGAAATATAAAACAAAAGAAAAGCAAGAACCCAAAACAAACTTATATGTATCTTAGGAGCATAGGCACCCCAACAAAGCAGATGTATTATCTTCCAAGCTCTCTTGTTTTTAACCTATCTACATATACAAAAGCCTAATATGCAAAGTGTCCCCTCGGAGTTTGACTGGGATACCGTGAGTTTGATCGCTCGCTACGATGTATGCTGACCACCAGGGGGCGGCGCAGAATGAAGGAAGGCCCTTGCTGGCAGCTGGAAGGAAGGCCCCAGTCAGCAGCCGGAAGGCCTGATCGGCCCTGATCGCAGGCCAGGCCTAGGGACCCTACCCGTGCACAAATTTCGTACACCAGGCCTCTAGTATAAAATAACTAAATGAAAGTGGAATAAGGCCTTGGAGCCTTAAAAGAGTTGAAGTCTGAGATTGCTATTAATGATGGATAAACTTTTCTTTGTCAGGACCAAAATGTCTTTGACTCCAAGAAGAAGGTGAAATTAACCAATGCAGAAGGAGTAGAGTTTAAGCTTTCCAAGAAACAGCTGCAAGCTATAGAATTTAACAAAGCTTTACTTGCTATGTACACAAATCAGGTAGGTTGAACAGATTTCTGGTTCCCCTGGCTAAACCTTTAGAGTATGGTAACTAGGCATAATGGATATATATCAGTGCAATCTATTTATGTGTGTCTTAAACCCATGTGTTTTTCAGAATGTCATATATAATAGATTTTATTGGTTAAACAAGTAATTTGCCCAATTCTTTGTAAAAGTGTGCTGTTGGTGGCTTTTAAGAGGAAGAAAATAATGTTCACTCCTGTAAATGAGATAATTTTGTCAATATCTTATTTCTAATCTCTCTGAATTAAAGTAAAATAATCATGCAAAATAAATCAAGTTATAAATGTTAAGGATATCAGTTCTAACCCTAACATGCATTAATTCTAATTAAATTATGATTTCATACTTTTCTAGAGCAGAGGTTTTCAGTGAGAGTGAGAAGCAGTAACATTTTTATTATTTAGAACTGAGTTAAATTATTCTAAAATACTTTAGCAAGAAATACATATTTATTTTGTTGTTTTGAAACAAAGGCTTATACTTGATGTATTTTTTAAAACAAAATTCTGGAATTTAAGCATCCAAATTAATGTTTAATAACTCTTCCTTTCCTAATTGCTTTTAAAACTCATAGTTTAAATTCAGTAAATGGAAATCTTTTCCTTATAAGAAAAAATTGAGAATAGATACTATAAATCACTTCTCTCACCCTAGGCAGTTTTTTACTTACTGTTTTATTTCAGCTGATTTCCTTTCCCCTTCCTACATCCTTTTTTTTTTTTTTTTTTTTGGTCACTCACTTAATGTTTAATTTCATTAACCAGCTTACTTGGGGGGGGGCAAATATTGTTTTTTAGGCAGAACAGTGCCGAAAAATATCTTCCAGTTTACAGTCCCAAAGCCCTGAGCGTCTCCTGCCTGTGTTAATCCAAGCTGCACAGTTCTGTCGTGAAAAGCAGCACACAAAAGCTATAGAGCTGCTTCAGGTAAAGGAAATACTTGAATTTTTAATGAGGTGTCGGATAGTTGCAGCCTTGTTTCATTTTCATTATGTATAAAAGCTTGTAAATATGTGTAAACTAATAGGTAATATACTTCTAGACACTTTAGTTAATTCTTGTGACACTTAAGTTAATTCTTGGGCTACAGCTTTGCTTTATATACATTTGCATTACTATATGTTTGTCATAAACCCTAAAGAATGTTTTTATTTTTAGTTCTATTTAACTAGTTAAGGGTTTGTTTTAGGCTTATAATACCAGAACATGCTTGAACCCTTTTTCAATAACGTATTCTCCAGTAAGTCCCAATCTAACCTCAAATAATTACAGAGATCCTTAGTTTTTTATCAGCCTAAGTCAGCTGTTAGATTATTTTTTCATTTCCTGAGGGTAGAATACATTGGAAAGTTGGACAGGGTAAAATTAGGACCATCCTGAGGGGCAAAGTTGTCTAGCCAGGGACCCAGTAAGGAGGTATCATTTATTTGAGTATCTTAAAAAATATTATGTAGTAGTCTTAATTATTATTTATTTTAGTGACTCTCTGGAAACTTGACATTATTGCTCTTATTTTCAGAGCATAATTTTAAAGCACAGTGGGTGTCGGGTAAAATTTTTCCAAAATAAAAGTTGGACTTTAAACCAAGAAGTTTAATATTTTGAAACTAGATTTAAATTTTTATGTAGCTAAGATAAGTAATTGGAATGTGTGCAGTGAGTTGTATAAATAAAATATGATTTTTTCCCCCCAATTAAAAAATGTTTAGGAATTTTCAGATCAGCATCCAGAAAATGCAGCTGAAATTAAGCTGACCATGGCACAACTGAAAATTTCCCAAGGTATTAATGATGATTTCATCATGACTAAAATATAGTTTTAATGGAAATATGTTTGGAATGATTCTGAAGTAGTTGACTGTGAGTTTAAAATTTTTGCATAATGGTGAAGCATAATTATTGTTATTTCAAACATGAAGCTAGATGGTGTGAGCTCCAACAGACTTAGTGAGTTAATTGGCCTTTTCTTGGGTTATTACTATATTGTCAGAATGATTCTCAGTCTATGCCTTGAAAGTCTGTAGAAGCAAAGGATTTCTCTGTTCCGAAAGACCGTACGTGACTCAAATTTCCTGGGTATGTGGTGTATAGAAATGCTTATATCTGTCACTTGGTAGTATTTGCATGAAATAAGGGTTACTTTGCCATCCTAGTTCTCAGAATTTTTTAGCTTAGGCCTTTATCCTTTATTTATGCTTTACAACACATATCTTTGGGGGAGAGATGCAAGGAAATTTAATGAAAACTGATATTTTTGGTTCTTACAGAAAACTGTTAGTGTTTTTGTTCATAATTTTGAACCAACCTTGAGTGATTATCTAGAGCTGTATTGACCATATTTGGTTGCCCCTATATGCATGTAGCTCTTTTAAGTTAAAATTAAATGAAATTTAAAATTCAGTTTCTCAGTTGTGCTAGCCACATTTCAGAAGCTTCGTAGCCACATGTGGCTAGTTGGACAGAATAATATATAGGATGTTTCCATCATCACAGAAAATTTTATCAGACAGCTCTGGTGTACAGTATGCATTCTCAGTGGGGATGATAATTGATTTGGATATTGGATTTTATGATGGCTAAAGTGAAAATTTTATGGGTAGAGGGTGAGGAAGTTAGTTGGCAATTAGGGGGGAAATGTGTAAAAAGACTCCTTAGTGGGGTACTAATGAAAACAAGGTTGAGAAACACTGCTAGTCTCCCTGTTACCTTATTCTCAGATTTGCTTACCTTTTAGTTTCTTTTTCCTTTTCTCACCTCTCTTTCTTTTTCTTGCTCTCTTCTTTATCTTCTTTCCTCATTCAGTTTTATTTTTTAAATTTTTCTTAATTGATTAAGGTATTACATATACGTCCTTATCCACCCCTTGCCCCCCAACCCCCCTTCCCGCTCATGCCCTCACCCCCCTGGTGTCTGTGCCCATTGGTTATGCTTATATGCGTGCATACAAGTCCTTTGGTTGATCTCTCCCCCAGGGTGGTTTTATTTTTGCAAAGATTATCATACTAAAATTACTGAGAGAGAATGCCTGTCAGTGGTTTTTGTTTTGTTTTTAAAGGCTTTAGTTATTTAGGTTTGCAGTGAGTAGAAAGAATTTTAACACCTTAGGAAAGTTTCCATTGCACTCATATCTATAGTAACATATTTCAAGGCCTAAGACTCAATTTTTTTATTTGTAAAATGAATAGAGTACATTATTCTCAAGATTCCAAAGCTTGAGTATTTAGAAATGTTATAAAACATGACTCTTAAATTTCTTGTCTTTTTTTCTTTTCATAATATGCTTTCTTCATTGTGATGACTGATCATGTCTTTCATTTCTTAAGGTAATATTTCCAAAGCATGTCTAATCTTGAGAAGCATAGAGGAATTAAAGCATAAACCAGGCATGGTGAGTTTATAACTAAAATCTCATACAACTGAAAAAGTAATGGAATTAATAGTCCATTGGTATGTTTGATGTTTTTTGTATTCAATTAATTTCTGCCTATTTCTATATATATAATAGTTAAAATAATAACGGTAGCCCGGCTGGCGTGGCTCAGTGGTTGAGTGTCTCCTCATGAACCAGGAGGTCAGGGTTCTATTCCTGGTCAGGGCACATATCTGGTTGCGAGCTTGATCCCCAGTGTGGGGCGTGCAGGAGGCAGCTGATCAATGATTCTCTTTGATCATCGATGTTTCTCTCCCTCTCCTTCTCCCTCTCCCTCTCCCTTCCTCTCTGAAATCAATAAAAATATATTTTAAAAAATAGTAACAGTAACTTTCTGGTATAAATTTAATTTCATTTTGTGCTCTGCTTTGCACTTATCTGTTATTTAGTCAGATGTGCCAGGTACTATTTAGGCCTTATATTACCACTGAGAGCCAACCTTAAATAACCTAAGATCCATATATGGAATTTCTTAGCCTAAATTATTTCGTCCTCAGTATGATTTCTTTGAGGTAAAATAATTTAGGAATAGTGGCCAATAAATTTAATTTTTAGTTCTCTAATTATCCCAGCATCAGATTTAGATCACTAATATAGCTGTGAAAGCATCTGTTTTGAAGTAAAGACTAATTCTATAGTGGTGGTCTGTGCATTTATTAAACTAGGACTGTTTTATTCATGCCTGTATTCTCTCACACAGCTTTTACAGTTGGGACTCAGAAAATGTGTAATAGTATTTGAAGGTTCATATTTTAAAGCCTTGGCTGCAGTTATTTTATGTTAGAATCAAATATGATATATAGTTGAAAATAAAATGTTTCTAATATTTAAAATCTGACTTTCTGGTCTCTTTCAAGAAATTTATTCATTTCATTTAGGTTATTGGCTTTATTGGCATAAAAGTTGTTCAGATATTCCCAGTTTATCCTGTTAGTACCTGTGAAACCTTTTGTTTATGGTAATTGGTTATTCATGTCTTCTCTCTCTTTTTTTCTTTTTCTTTTCTGATCAATATCACCAGAGATTTATCCGTTTTATTGATTTTTCTCAAAATTCCAGCTTTTTGTTTGTCCTTTCTGTCCTCATCTCCTATTGCTCTTCCCCTTGCACTCTATTCCAGCTACATGGGCCTCTTTGCTATCCCTCAAACACAATAGGCAAGCTTTTCACTGGCTTTATGTAGCTCAGGCCTCATGTGACTCATCATGGGAGTTCAGCCACGTGTGTGTGTGTGTGTGTGTGTACCTCATTGATCATGTACTTGGATGTCCCAGCAGTGTCTTATTATATGAACTAATTTTCCAAGTGCTTATTCTCAACTTCTGTACTTACCTTGCAGACTGGTAATTTTGTGAACTGGCACTGCTTTAGAGGAAAGGTATATTTTATAGATAACTTTGTATTTGGAAAGCACTGCTGTTCATGGTATTTCTAGTTATTATACCCCATAATATAGTAATTTTTATGATGAATTAGATTCTGGTGGAGAGAGCCTAGCAGCCTTTACCTGCTGTTTCTTCAATGTTTTTCATTTTGAAAAAGCTTATTCCGGGAGAAAAGGGGAAATTTTACTCACTAATTTATACCTTTCGCTGGGTAGGTATCTGCATTAGTGACTATGTACAGCCATGAGGAAGATATTGATAGCGCCATTGAGGTCTTCACACAAGCTATCCAGTGGTATCAAAAACATCAGGTAAGTAAATGGAGTAAAATGTTATAAGGGTTTGTTTTTACATAAAAATAAAAAGCTGCACTCCTGAACTAACAAGTTAGGAGAATTGAAACATTACAAGTCACTATTTAAAAGATGGAATGATATTACTATTATAACCTACTAGAGGCCCGGTGTACGAAATTCATGCACTGGGGGCGGGGGGAGGGGGTCCCTCAGCCCGGCCTGCACCCTCTCGCAGTCTGGGAGCCCTTGGGGATGTTTGACAGTTGAACATCCTTAGTGCTGCCGCAGAGGTGGGAGAAGCTCCCGCCGCGGCCGCAGCGTTCACTAGCTATGAGCCTAGCTTTTGGCTAAGGGGTCTTCCCCCTGTGGGAATGCACTGACCACCAGGGGCCAGCTCCTGCGTTGACCGTCTGCCCCCTGGTGGTCAGTGCGCATCATAGCGACTGGTCGTTCCACTGTCGGGCCAAAACGGGCTCTCCGACATCCCCCGAGGGGTCCTGGATTGAGAGAGGGCGCAGGCCAGGCTGAGGGACCCCACTGGTGCACGATCAGGGCCGGGGAGGGATGTGGGAGGTTGGCTAGCCAGGGATGGATCATGAGAGGGCTCCAGGGCATGTCTCATTCAGTCCTGATCGGCTGTTCCCCAACAGCAAGCTAATGTACCGGTTAGAGCGTCTGCCCCCTGGTGGTCAGTGCACGTCATAGCAAGAAGTTGAGTGGCCTTAGCATATCATTAGCATATTATGCTTTGATTGGTTGAATGGCCGACCGGATGACCAGACACTTAGCATATTAGGCTTTTATAATATAGGATTTTTTAAGTATACCAGATCCAAATAAAGTTATTAGAAGTAAGAAATGGCTGCAAAATGGGGAAAAAATTGTTCAGTTATGTTTTCTGAACCTCTTTCCTCTGTGTGTGTGTGTGTGTGTGTGTGTGTGTATGTAACCTCAAGAAATAAGAATAATAGTACATGATTATATATAAGAGAACTCATCTTTAGTGACTTGGGAGTCCATGGATGGTAGTAATTAGTAGAACAGTGGTATAGTTGACCCTTGGATAACATGGGTTTGAACTGCATAGGTCCATTTATATACGAATTTCTTTTCAATAAGTACTATAATTGTATTCTCTTTCTTATGGTTGTCTTAACATTTTCTTTTCTCTAGCTTTATTGAAAGAATACAGTATGTAATACATATAACATGCAAAATATGTATTAATAGACTTATTGATTAAGGCTTCAAAGTCAGCAGTAAGCTGTTAGTAGTTTAATTTTTTAGGGAGTCAAAAGTTATACTCAAATTTTAAACTGTCAGTGCCCCTAACTCCTGTGTTGTTAAAGGGACAGCTATATATGGGATAATTGTATATCATGTCTCCATCTATTAGAGATATCTTTATTTTTTCCAGTATGGGTTTCTGCATGGGCAGTACCCAACTTAGGTGGCATTTGTACTGTTAGCACTGTTAGCAGTGAGAGATACCAGTGTTCTGGGAACTATTAAGATAATGTTTGAGAATTATGGTGACATATATTTGATTATGGGGTTATTTCTAGTTGTGGATGATCTAAATCGAGATGAATTGTGTTCCAAATTCATAAATTAGTCATGACTGTACTAATTTGTCTTCTCCTCTCCCTGTTTGTGTGTGAAAATTTATGATTTTTCATACATTCTGTAAAACTTGAGATAAGGAATTTAATGGATAGGCCCATTTTAAAGGTCCTATGAATATAACTTCATTAACTTGCTAAATATTTAGCTTAAAACTTTTCTTTCTCTTTTTATTCAAACTGTAGCCCAAATCTCCTGCTCATTTGTCCTTGATAAGAGAAGCTGCAAATTTCAAACTCAAATATGGGCGGAAGAAGGAAGCAATTAGTGACCTAGAACAGCTATGGAAGTAAGCTCTGAAAGGTGGAGATGTAGAAATCCAGATTTTATTGCTGTTATTTGATATGAATGAATTATTTTGCTTGTTTATGTTTTCTTCAGTTTTATAAATTGTTAAATAACTTTTTTATTTCTTCTTTTAGACAAAATCCAAAAGATATTCATACCCTGGCGCAGCTTATTTCTGCTTACTCACTTGTAGATCCTGAGAAAGCAAAAGCGTATCCTTTTGATTGTTCCAAGCAGCTCTCAAGTTGCATAGTAGATCTCTTCCAGTACCTGTTTGACTAGGACTTTTTCTGTTGTAAATTTCAACAAACAAAACCCCCTTCTTTAAAAAAAATTTTTTTTTTAATTTTTTTAATCAGAGAGGAAGGGAGAGGGAGAGAGAGATAGAAACATCAATGGTGAGAGAATCATTGATTGGCTGCCTCCTCCACACCCCCCACTAGAGATCGAGCCCACAACCTGGGCATGTGCCCTTGACCGGAATTGAACCCAGGACTTTTCAGTCCGTAGGCCGATGCTCTATCCACTGAGTCAAAGCGGCTAGTGCCAAAACCCCCTTCTAACTAGTAAAAACAAAAGTGAGAATTTAGTGATCAGTGTGACTGAAAAATACACTGGTAGATCCAACTTGGGGTACAGCTTGATCCACAACCAAAAATGAAGTCATAACATATAGTTTAGATCTCCATGTTCAAATTCAACAGCAAAAAAAACACACAAACAAAAACAAAAAAAAAAACAATAAACAAAAAGCAAACAAAACCACAAAAAATGTATTTTTATTTGGATACTAGTACATGATTCTGAAATGTCATTTTGATTGAACTATTTTATGTCACATGCCCATCTCAAACAATAAGAGAATGGTGCCCTAATTGGCTGAGTTTGGATCACGTGTGCTCCTCCAATATGGGTGTGTTCCCAAAACTGAGTGGGTGGGGTGGTGAATGTTAAGAAGCCATAAGTCAAAACCTTTGCATTGAGCAAGTCTGTGTTTTATGCTCTTAATAGCTGTTTTGAGGTAATAGAGTTTTTATCAAGCTATGACCTAGAAGTATGTCACTGAGTTTAGGAATAGATGATTAGAAGATAACTCATTTTTTGAGTTTTCCTTTCACAATATATAATATATAATTGACTTGATGACTTTCAGGTTTGTTCTATAAAAGATTTAAGAACGTTTTTTGCTTTTGACAAAGGGCATCAAATAAAGACAGTGTGTTTCTCTATAGGCATAGATATATTGTTAGGCATATATATGTATTTATATTGTGTTCCTGAACTCCTGTTCTATCCCAGTCTTAGTAAACACTTGCCCTCGTCAGATAGTATGTCTCTGAAAGTAGATGTTGAGGCTCTTGAAAATTCTCCAGGTGCTACGTATGTTCGGAAGAAGGGTGGAAAAGTTGCTGGAGAGAGTCAACCAAAGGAGCAAGGGTAATGTTTTTCATTCTAACATTCACTAATGCTGATTTTAAATTATATGAGGAATAAAAATACACTTATAAAAATTACATGTGAATAAGGTTTAAGTCCCCTTTGTTTCTTTTCCTTCCTTTTCTCTGTGCCCAACTCTTAGTCCTCGTTTCCTCCCTCCTCTCTGGTCCAGAATTAACTTCTGGTATTAACTTAGTGTGTATCCTTCCAGATCTTTTTCTTTGTATTTACACACAGACGTGAATTAGAAATATTTTCCTTAGATTGGATTATTTTTTGTTTTTTTACAGAAGTGGGGTTCCATTGTGCTTAGTGTTTTCAAACTTGCTTTCTTTCATTTACTAAGTCTTGCAGACATACGCTATTTATGCATAGGCTGAATGGGCCCTACTTTATTAACCTATTAAGTTCTTAATATACACTTACTGTATCATTTAGTAATTCTAAACCACAGTTCTGATCTTTATTTTGCTGATTTGGAGGAAAGGTTAGCCAACTTCATTAACTTATATAAAGTCAAATTCCAATTTTTTCCTTATTCTACATTGCCATCTCAAAAAAAGCAGAGGCCTATGGTAAATGTTTAAGATTTTATTTTTGACTCAGGATGAATAGAGAATGGAAAAGATAAAACGTTTCCTCGGTTTTGTGGCTTTCTTAATTTTTCACTATTTTCTCCTTTTTTGAATACCTTTCAAAATCTAATTTTTTTGTAACTTTGAAACAATATCAGCACCAACTTGATATGATTGACTTCATTATGAACTCTGTGTTTGATATAAAAAAAGTATTATCCTCGTAATAGAATTTAAAAACTTAAATAGGGAATTGTAGTCTCAGAGATAAGACATTGTTCCATTTTATCATATGATTCCGATTTCAAGCCTTATAAAGAACTCCAGAATGAAATGAATCCAAGCCAGATCTTAAGGGGATTTTTATATAATGCCCATTTAAATATTTTCAGTATTTTTTCCCCTCTTTCAAAACAGGGTTGGGTCATTAGTAAGAACATACAATTCATTTCTAATCCTGTACAATTACTAAGATGTACATTGAGGTTTTTAAAAATATATATTTTTATTTTTACTGATTTCAGAGAGGAAGGGAGAGGGAGAGAGAGATGATGAGAATCATTGATCAGCTACCTCTTGCACACCCTCTACTGGGGATTGAGCCCACAATCTGGGCATGTGCCCTGACCGGGAATTAAACCGTGACCTCCTGGTTCATAGGTCGACACTCAACCAGTGAGCCACACTGGCTGGGCTTTTAAGCTTTTAAATTTCTGCACAATATTTTCATTAAGCATTATTAATGTCTTTTATTTTATGTTAACTTTTGGATACAACCGTTTAGTTACTTTTTAAGATACACTATGTTGTTGACAAAATATAAATCATGGTCCTTGCCCTCATAAGAACTTAAGTATAGCAGAGGGAAGTATATGTAAGCAGTAATTGTAATAAAGATTGCATGTGCTACTATTGTGCAGGGCATTCGGGAGTACACTAGAGGGGATGGATCTGCCTCAGGACACTGGGAGGTTAGGAAACACTTCATGGAGGAGGTGACTGGGTTGACTTGAAGAAAATGAAACAGAAGAGTTAGGCAAAGTGTGAGCAAAAGCAAAGAAGTAGGAAATGGTAGAGAACCTCTAGGAAATAGCAGGTATGATTTGTAGGGAGACAATGTATTGTCTAAGGGAGAGATGAAGCTCTAACGTAAGACACTGTCTTACTATAGGGTGTACCCTAAAAGAACTCAAAATGAATGACTTGATAGAATGACTTTTTAAAAAAATTCTCACTTGAGGATATGTTTATTGATTTGAGAGAGAAAGAGAGAGAGAGAGAGAGAGAGAGAGAGAGAAAGAGAGAGGAAGGGGGAGAAGGAGAAAGAGAAACATTGATGTGAGAGAGAAACATCAATTGGTTAGAGAGAGAGAGAGAGAGAGAGAGAGAGAGAGAGAGAGAGAGAGAAAGGAAGGAAGGGGGAGAAGGAGAAAGAAACATTGATGTGAGAGAGAAACATCAATTGGTTACCTTCCATAGATGCCCTGACTGGAGATCGAACCCATTACCTAGGTGTGTCCTGACAGATAATTGCACCTGCAAATTTTTGGTGTACAGGATGATGCTTCAACCGAGCCACCCGGTCAGGGCCAGAGATATTTTGTATATGTTCCTTTTATCAAAGTATATATTGTTATTGATTTCAGAGGAAGGAAGGAGAGAAAACATTGATGTTGAGAGAGAATCATTGATTAGCTGCCTCCTGCACACCCCCTACCGGGGATTGAGCCCACAGCCCAGGCATGTGCCCTGACTTGGAATCAAACCGTGACCTCTTGGTTCATAGGTTGACCCTCAAACACTGAGCCACACTGGCTTGACTGTGTTCCTTTTTTTGTTTTTACTGTAGCTGTCAGAGTACTTAGCAATTATTTTGAGTGTTTTCTTGACTTCTTATGCTCTTTTAAATGCCCTTTAGTTGGAAAGGGGGGTCAGTGTACTTTAAATAAAGATTTTATTACCTAAAAAATTCAATAGCCCTGGCTGGTGTGGCTCAGTTGTTAAAGTGTCGAACCGAGCACTAAGGATTGTGGGTTCCATTTCTGGTCAAGGGCATGTACCTGGATTTCAGGTTCGATCCCTGGCCCTGGTCGGGGCGCATGCGGAGGCACACAATCAATGTGTGTCTCTCACATCCATGTTTCTCTCTCTCTCTCTCTCTCTCTCTCTCTCTCTCTCTCTCTCTCATCTCCCCTCCCTCCCTCCTTTCCACTCTCTAAAAGTCAATGAAAAAAAATATCCTCAGGTGAGGATTAACAACAACAAAAATTCAGTAAACTCACAAATTTAGCCCTATATAAACCTGAAAAATAAAAATTTGCAGAATAAAATGCCTTCCACCACTCTCTGCACTTCTCCCTCCCAAGGTCAAAACCAATGTTACTTATCTTATATAACCTACCAAAGATATTCTTTGCATGTATTATACCTGTACATTTTCTTCTAACGAAGAGTTTAATGATCTGTTCTTGAGTTTTGCCAAACGTGAGGTAACTTATTGTAGATGTTGATGCTTGTGCAAGTTTCTTATCTTTTTTACATAAAGTTTAATATGCATGTGCCAATGTAAATGGTATCTGTTTTCTGAAAACAATTGTCACCCCTCTTTTCTAAACCCTCTCCTATAAATTACAGTGTATGAAGCTTGATTAAATTTAACCTAAATAAACATCCCAACTAGTCTATTTATTAACTTTGATGAGCCCTCACTTAGCAAATCTTGAACACCTTTATGATAAAGTACTCGGCTTGCTCTTTTACACATGCATAATGCTCTATATTTTATCATGTTGATGGTAATGATTTTTGTTCTCTTTGTAGACAGGGAGATTTGAAAAAGAAGAAGAAAAAAAAGAAGGGTAAGGCTTTTTAAAAAGTCTTTAGATTTCTTTCTACAAGATAAAAGCTTGAGTTTAGCCCTATATAAAAACCTTCAAATATATTGTCCTCTTGTATCTTTGAACACTTGAGTTTTGTCTTAACTATAGCTAGTATATTTAATTTTATTACATTAAAGAGTACAACTCTGGATTTTGCCTAAATTCAAATTATTGCTTGAGTAACATTGCTCTTTCACTGTAACTGTGAACAGATTACCTAACATTCCTGCCTGAATTTTTTATCTGTAAAATGGAATTTGATGGTATATACCTCATATAATTAAATAAGATATTGCATGTAAAGCTCTTAGAACACTGTCTGGCTCGTAGTAAACCCTGATACATTAGGCTGCTTTTGGCTGTAAATACCATAGAAGTCCATCAAACTGGTCTAAGAAAATTTGCTGTTTATGAAACTATCAGTGATGTTAGCATCAAAATCAAAGTTGGTTGATCCAGTAGTTGTATCTTTTTGTTCTGCTGTGCATAAAACTGGATCCCATTAGAGTCTTGTGATGTTTGTTGGAAAAAGGACCACATACTTGTCATTTATATCCATCAGGACAAAGAGGGTCTCATTTGGCAAATCTTTCCCATTAATCTGATTGGGCTAACATAGGTCATTGTCCAGCCCTGAACCATCCAGGGCAGTGGTTCTTAACCTTGGCTGCACATTAGAATCACCTGGGAATCTTTTTAAAATCCTGATTTCTGGGCCTCATCCTCCAGAAATTCTGTTTCTTTGTTATGGGTGGGGCACAACATTAGTAACAAAGAAACAGAATTTCCGGAGGATGAGGCCCAGAAATCAGGATTTTAAAAAGATTCCCAGGTGATTCTAATGTGCAGCCAAGGTTGAGAACCACTGCTTTAAGAGAACAAGTGATAACTAAAGATAACAATAGCCTGCAATTTGACTTTTTTCTATATTTTGTGGTTTCCAGATGGGCATATTTTAAAACTTACAATTGATATGTGCTTATTCTAAAAACAAAGTAAAGTAAAATAAAAATAAACAAAAGTAATAGACTTCTGTTGTAATAGAATTGCATAAAGAATAAAAATTCCCAACTCCAATTCATGCTCCAAGAAGTAATTAACTTTTTTCTATATAGAACATACATATACATTTACATGGTCAGTCAATAAAAGGTTTTACAAAGATGATATGAACATATCAGGATAGTTTCTTTTCTGTTTTAGACTGTATTGTGCAGACTTTTTCCAAGTTATTAAATCTGGGTGTGCTTCACTTTTTAACCCATTGTATAGCTTGCTATAGTAGGGGTATATTGTAATTTATTTCATCGTTCTTTTACTGGTGGACGTTTAAGTTTGCTATTTTAAAGGCTATCAGAATATTCTTATGGATTTCTACAGGATAAATTTCTAGAAGTATAAATTTTGACTGGTACTGCCAATAAATTGCTGTCAACAAAGGCTATACCAGTAAACACTTCTGCTAGTGTTTTTTGTTTTTTTTTTAATATATTTTATTGATTTTTTACAGAGAGGAAGGGAGAGAGATAGAGAGTTAGAAACATCGATCAGCTGCCTCCTGCACATCTCCCACTGGGGATGTGCCTGCAACCCAAGTATATGCCCTTGACCGGAATCGAACCTGGGACCCTTTAGTCCGCAGGCTGACGCTCCATCCACTGAGCCAAACCGGTTTCGGCTGCTAGTGGTTTTTGAGTGTTTCCCATTATCTCACCAACACCGGGTTTTATTACTGCTTTTAGTATTTGTTGGTTTGGTAGAATTTTTTACCCCTTTCTGTTAGTGAGGTTGAGCATCTTTTCACATGATTAATGACTTTTATTTCTTCTGGCTTACTCTAATTACAGCTATGCCCATTTTTCTTTGTATGAGTTACCTCTTGATTATGAAGAACTTACTCTATATTAAGAATGTAATCTGCTCTGGTTATATAATATGCATTTTTTTTACCATCTGATTATTTTTAATGTCCAGAGTTTAAAATACAAGGAGCAGAGTTCCTCTCAGACTCAAGTTTATAAATTCTCAATTGGCTTGTGAGGCCAGTAAGGTTACTTCTTTTTGTCTAATTTGGTTTCTGGGAAGACTTCATTCAAATACTCGATGGTCATCTGGTCAAATGGAATTATGTTCTTCATCTTCTCCAGCTCTTTCTCGTATTGCTCAATCCTGGTCTTTGAGAGAGACACAAACTCAGCACAACTTTTCACATCTTCTTTTTCTTCAGCATCCACCAGGGCACTGTACTTATCCTCTGGCACAGAAACCTTCAGGGCATAAAACTTCTTCTCAAAGTCATCTACTAAGCCGGCCTTCGCCACATTGGCCTTGTAGTAAGCCCAGTCGATAGCAGGTGGTTTCTCAGGTAGAGTAGCCAACCTGGAGGTGAGGGTCTCATTCCAGGATTTCAGGGTGTTAGCAATGGCCTTCTGGTTTCGGGGTATGATCTCCCCAAAAGCTACCCAGGCAATGGTTTTTAGAGCAAGTTTTCACCCAGCCATCTTGAGATCCTTCACTGACTCCTATCATATGCATTTTTTATTCTCGTAAATATATCTTTTACCAAATGAAAATTTAATTTTTTATATAGATACATCTGTGAAATCTTTTCCTTTATGTCTTCTGAATATTGTATCATGCTTAGAAATAAGGCCTTTTTCCCTGATAGATTATACAAATAAAACTTTCTCAAACTTATTTCAGTTTTAATGTTATTTATTCCAAGTCTTGGACATAATGTTTAAATGATTACCTTGAAAACATTATGGACAGATTCCTCATTTTTTCATCAATTAATTGTTACACAGGAAAACTGCCTAAGAATTATGACCCAAAAGTGACTCCAGATCCAGAAAGATGGCTACCAATGCGGGAACGGTCTTACTACCGGGGAAGGAAGAAGGGTAAGAAGAAGGATCAGATTGGAAAAGGGACCCAGGGAGCAACTGCAGGAGCTTCATCTGAACTGTAAGTCATTGCTTCCTGATTGAGGTCACTCAGAGCATAGGTTGATCTTTCTGAGATTGACTCATTAGTGTGAATTTTAAAATGTATTTTAAGTATGAGAAGTACAGTCAGATATCTTTGATGTTTTTTTAAAAAATATATTTTTATTTCAGAGAGAAAGGGAGAAGGAGAGAGAGATAGAAATCAATGATGAGAGCCAAAGCCGGTTTGGCTCAGTGGATAGAGCGTCGGCCTGCGGACTGAAAGGTCCCACGTTCGATTCCGGTCAAGGGCATGTACCTTGGTTGTGGGCACATTCCCAGTGGGAGATGTGCAGGAGGCAGCTGATCGATGTTTCTCTCTCATCGATGTTTCTAACTCTCTATCCCTCTCCCTTCCTCTCTGTAAAATATCAATAAAAGATATAAAAAAAAAAAAGAAAAAAAAAAAGAAATCAATGATGAGAGAATCATTGATTGGCTGCCTCCTGCATGCTCTCCACTGGGGATTGAGCCCGCAACCTGGGCATGTGCCCTTGACCAGAATCGAACCTGGGACCTTTCAGTCTGCAGGCTGATGCTCCATCCACTGAGCCAAACCAGCTAGGGCATCTTTGATGTTTTGCAATACACTATTGTAAAGGAAAGAAAATGTGGTATTTCTGGTTGGATTGTATTCTAAATACTTGGATTTTAAGATTGTATCATAAATAATAGGATTTCAGTAACTTCAAAAGTAGACTACATACACTGAGTCATCCAATAAACTAAATATCTAGATAAACAAAGATATAAATAATGTGACTAAAAAGAAGTATTAAAAATGTTACTGCCCTGGCCGGTGTTGCCCAGTGGTTAGAGTGTCAGCCCACACACCTGAGGGTTTGATTCCCAGTCAAGAGCATGTACCTGGGTTGCAGACTTTGAACCCCCGCCCGATCGGGAGTATGCTTGAGGCAACCAATCAGTCAATGTTTCTCTCTCCTCTTTCTCTCTTTCTCCTCTATCCCTCTCTTCTACTCTCTCTTTAAAAAAAAGTTACTTGCCCTGGCTCAGTTGGTTGGAGCGTCATCCAGTACACCAAAAGATTGTGGGTTTGATTCCTAGTCAGGGCACATACTTAGGTAGTGGTTTGATCCCCAGTTTGGGCATGTATGGGAGGCAACCAAGCAGTGTTTCTCTTCCCCCCTCTTCTTTCCTCTCTCTCTAAAATCCATAAAAACATATCCTTGGGTGAGGATTTTAAAAAAATGTTACTAAATAACTCATTTGTATATGGTAGGATTATAAGTCATTTAAAATTTTGTCTTTATTTTCTAAGCCTTCTAAGAATTGGCATGTACCATATGTTACTTATCCTTTGATTATAAAGCACTAAACATTTTATTCAAAAGGGATAAAGAGTTGGGGAACCCACTTTAAAATAAATAGAATGTGTGGGAGATTATTAGGGGTGGAAAGTGAAATTCACGTATGTATGTTTTTATAGCCTTTTTCTTTGTTGAATGTATGAATGACTGACACTTTCCTGATCTGATGATTTCAGGGATGCCAGTAAAACTGTGAGCAGCCCACCCACCTCGCCAAGACCTGGCAGTGCAGCAACAGCATCTGCATCTACAAGTAATATCATACCCCCAAGACACCAGAAACCTGCAGGGGCTCCAGCAACAAAAAAGAAACAGCAACAGAAAAAGAAGAAAGGTGGAAAAGGTGGCTGGTGATTAGAACATTCTTGTTGCAGACTATTTTTCAGCTAGTCTTAGTGACACTAGGAACATAATAAAGGTAACACAGCAAGAAGCACAGAGCTGCTCTCTCTCCCATCCCCACATTTTCATCAGATTATTTTCTTGTGCATCAAAAAGGAAAACATCTTCCTCATACTCTGCCTAGTCAGACTTAGCCTACTTGTACCACCTAGCTTTGCACAGATGATGAGAACTCAAAATAATTGGGATTTACCCACCTTGATATCTGTTTCTTTGTGTGCTGATCTGGAGGTGTTTTTTCAGTTTCACAAATAAGGCATGTTATCTAAGGTTTCCTAGGTTATAAACAGAAGTTACTTCTGCTGTTTTAACTAGAGTCTAAAGACACTTGTTCTTATCTAGTCCCACTTTAAATTATGTCTTAGAAGGTCTTAGGAGACTGAAAGTGGAATCTTCTGAGCATTCCAAATATCTACTTAGAAATATCATGTGATAAAAAGGGACCTTATTAGTACACTGGTGTTCTCCACTTAGTTACATGAGTGGCCACAGGAAAACCAAATGTCTTGATTAATTTTTACCATAAATTCTGTTATGTGATATTGGAATATGGGATATTATATATATACATATATAGTAATAAAAAGTATGTATGTGTATATGCATATATACACATGTATATAAATTAGGACTCCTTTCGCCCCCGTATCAGTTTCAGATTATGATAACATGGTGCTTATTTAGCACTATAAAGAACTCAAAGGAAACATCAATGTTGTAAGAAGCTGACCCTTAGCAGTGTTCTTAGGTCAAATGGGTTTGGATGGTCTCAATCAGATTTAATGTCCCCTATCAAGAGCATGAACATTGACTTCCTGTGTAGAGAAGAAATCAGTAGCAGAGTTCAGTAGCAGGCAGTATTAAAACTCAACAGTACTGTGTGGCCCAATTAATAAATACTCAGATGGCTCCTCTTTCTAGTTAGGGCAGTGACTATACATTACCCTTCCCAGAGTGAGGGAGTGTTATACAGTCAGGACTGCGGTGTCGGTGTTGCTCTGGTCTTTCCTTGCTTATAAGCCACTTTCCCATTGAACAGCTGTGAGACAGATGCCCACTCTGACTAGTATTCATTTTATGTACCCCAGATAGCATTGAATTTAGATTTAAGACTTATTTCCTTGTGATCGTATTACTCCATCCTTGTTAATAAAGTGCTGCTGTGTTTGACTCCGAACATAATGAAACATACTGAGACATCTTCGAAGAGTTTTTTAAAAGGCTTTCCTCCTTTACAAGAGTAAGAAATGTGATGCTGCCTTTCTGTTTAACATAATCAGATTTGCAGTGGCATCTAAACAAGAGACGGGCTTACATATGAATGGTTTATTATGGCGTAATACTTTTTGAGCTCTCAGAGAATAGTCTTTTGGTAAGAGTGACAGATACTCATTCCTTCTAAATATATACCCCATTACAAGAATAATTGTTAGTAAATTTGTTATTTAGGATTCCATTAAATTTCTGTGGTGAAGGATAATCACTTTTTAGGTTTAACTAAGCTACCGAATTTTGGTGAAAATTATCATTAAAATTTTGACAAAAAATACAAAGTGAAATATATGGTTTTCTAGCCAGTCATTGCTATTACCAGTCATTACTAAGCAACTGAAACCTCAGTTCAAAGAAGTTATTGTCAAATTAAGTGTAAACATCTACATTAACTTTCTGGTAATTATTTCTCTTTTGGACAGCTCTTTAACCAGTGACATATACACTTTGTATATATGTGTGTGTCTACATTTATAAAAACCAATATGGATACATCCATTCACTGTGGCACATTTTAAAATAAAATATTCTAGCAGTGCGTATGGATTGAGATGTTTTGGGTGTTGACATTTTATGGAGTACTTCCTGGTTGGTACATCTGAGAATTTTTTTTTTAAAATATATTTTATTGACTTTTTACAGAGAGGAAGGGAGAGAGATAGAGAGTTAGAAACATCGATGAGAGAGAAACATCGATCACCTGCCTCCTGCACATCTCCTACGGGGGATGTGCCCGCAACCCAGGTACATGCCCTTGACCGGAATCGAACCTGGGACCTTTCAATCAGGCCGACGCTCTATCCACTGAGCCAAACCGGTTTCGGCCATCTGAGAATTTTTTAAACTGGGTATCTAAAAATCTCAGAGCATTGGCCTGCGGACTGAAGGGTCCGGGGTTCAATTCTGGTCAGGGGCACATGCCCGGGTTGTGGGTGATCAATGATTCTCTCTCATCATTGATGTTTCAATCTTCTATCTATAATTTAAAAAAAGTATAATATGCTAATTAGACCGGACATCCTTCCAGACGTCCTTCCAGACAAAACTGTAGCGGGTGGGGGCCATGGCAGAGGTGGCAGAGGCCCCTGGCCACGGATGGGGGCCGGGGCCAAGGCCCTTGCACGAATTTCGTGCATCGGGCCTCTAGTAAAAATATAAACATAAAATAAAATTCTCTCCAGCCCCTCTCTGCAAAGCTACAAAGCTAATTTAATGGGGTTAAGAGACCCCAGCTTTAACTTCACTGAAAATCCATCATGTTGATAAGTGTATATAAATAAATTGAGGAGCAAACATATTAAGTTATTAAGTACAGCATTTTTAAGACTACTTGAATACTGCTAACAGCTGCAACACTAAGGCCTTCTGGATCCTGCCATTCATTCATTGTTCCTTACAAGCCTAATTGAAACATAGATCTGATGAAGAAAAGTCAGTTTATTGTGTAAGAGAATTTTGTTAGTTTGTGAAATATACTAGGGTCCAATTTAACAAAAGAACTATCCATATACTCAGTTAAACATTACACAACCTTTGAAAAGCCCTGTGGATTTCCTAATTTGTTGAATATTCGATCATTTGGAACAAAAAAAAAGATTTTTCTTTAGTTTTTATTTTTTCAGAGAGGAAGGGAGAGAGAAACAATAATGCAAATCATTGATTGGCTGCCTCCTATACCCCCCTAGTGGGGGGGGGCGGACCTGCAACTGGGGCATGTGCTCTTGGCCTGAGTCGAACCTGGGACCCTTTAATAGGCAGGCCGACACTATCCACTGAGCAAAACCGGCTAGGGCTAGTTTTTTTAATACCCTGCATTCCTAGTAGCTATGATCCTGGCAGACTTAAGAATTTTTAAAAGCGAAATAAGAAAATTTGAAATCGGGACCATTCACGTTCCTGTTGTCCCTTGAGCATCTTGGACAATTTCTAGATTCTACTAGTTAAGTTGGCACAGGCTGGAGGGCGAGGAGATACCCGACTTCACTTTGCAGGCTTGAGATGACTAACGGGATAGGCGGGGAATCCTCTGAGGACCCTCAGCCCTCTGACCCCTCGGGGTCCTTCTGATGGGAGACCCGTGAGCTGGGTGGGCGTGGAGATCATTCGGGAGAGGAGAGACGCTTAAATCTGGGCCGCTTGGAAAAGGCCTTTTTGAGGCACCCTGTCCAGCTCAAGGGAATCGCGCCATAGTGCCCCTCCCGAAGGGTGGCACCGGGACACGCTTTTTCCTGCGTTGCCAACCTGCCACGCAGGGCTTTCAGGTCCCTTTGGACCTGACCCTCTAGCTCCTTCGCCTTCTTCCGCCCTCAGGTTTGGCGAATCTGCAGCACGCAGCCCCGGGAGATGAGAGCGTGTACCAGACGCCCGGTGGGTGGCAATGGCAGCACGCACGCCGTAGTGAGTGCGGGTGGGGTCTACGCCACATGCATCTACGTGGATCTACGACTCTGGCTGCGCGCCCCCTCCCGCCCCCACAAGGGCCACACCTGCCGAGACTCAGGACCGCTGCTCCAGCGTGCGGGCGCGCAGGAGGGAAGGAAACGGGACTGGAGATGGAGAGGGGGAAGGGGAAGAAGAAAGAGAAGGGAAAGGAGCCGGAAAAAGGAAAGGAGGAAAAAGAGAAAAGGAAGGAGGTGGAGAAGGAGAAAGCTAAGGATAAAGAAAAGGAGAAGGGAAAAGGGAAGGAGGAGAAAAGTAGAAGTAACGAGGAGGAAAAGAGAAAAGAGCGGGAGAGAGAGAAAGAGAAGGAACAATTTAAGGGAAAAGAGGACGACAACAGAGTCTTAGGAAAGCCCCTGCTGGAGCCGCCGGTAAGAGACTGATGCCTCGGCCCCTCTCCCCAAGGCCGTCGTTCAGGCCGGAGCGCCAGCTCTGTTACGTCCCAGGCCCCGACCCAGGCGGGAGGGAATTGCGTCTGCTTCGGGGGCTTTTCACCTGTGTCGCTTCTACCGCCCCTTCCCTCTGCCCACCCTCACCCTAACCCCGAGCTGCATGTCAACCCTCATCAGAATCCAGTGTTGAAGAGCCGCAGGGAAAGGTCCTTTTGCGGCCCCACCTCTTCCACTGCTCAGAACCAGGTCACAGACCGCCCCCCAACACAGAAACCCCCAACACAGAAACCCGCCCTGAACGCTCACTGCACACGGGCTCGCTCTCTCCAAGTCCTTTCTGTTGAGTAAGTTCTTTGGCGGAAGGTGCGGGGTTCCTGATTTGTGCCGGCTGGGTTTTCGAATTGTCTGGACCTTTTCTGTGGGCGTTGGTGGTTACTGCTTCCACTGTTTTCAGACATCCAGAAGGGATGGTCACAAAGGTTTAACGGAGAGATCTCAGAAGCTAAAAGATAAATACCTATGACTCCACTTATATGAGGTACCTAGAGTAGTCAAAACCATAGAGACCATAGGATGGTGGTTGCCGGCTCCTGGGGGAGGGAGAACGGGGAGTTAGTATTTAATGAGAACAGTTTGTTTTACAAAATGAAAAGAGTTCTGGAGCTGGATGGTGGTGATGGTTGCACAACATTATGAATGACTGTGCTTCATACCACTTAACTGTACGCTTAGAACTGGTTAAGATGATACACTTTGTTATGTGTATTTTACCACAGTTTTAAAATTGGGGGTGGGGTGGGGAGAGGAAAGAAAAGCCAGGCATCATTTGGGTCAGCTTAGTGAGCTCTGTGCTCCTGAGCTCCTGGGCTCAGGGCTGCTTCCGGTTCTAAACAATGTAATTACTCATATAGATTTGATCTTCGGGAAAACACAGACTGCATAGATCCACCTGTAATTAAAGGAATAACTTATGACAAGGAACAGTGGTGTTAGGAATCACATTTTTGTGTCTGAACTATTGCTTTACAATAATCCCAGATTTCCTTAGATTATAAACATAATGAAGCATGTGGTTTAGACTAAAAAGTAAGCAAAATGTAAAGCATCAGCGCCTGCTGAATTTCTAGATTAGGGGGAATGAACTTAGGGCCAGTGATGTGGTCGGAAAGGGAGTAGGGAACTTTTTTTTCTCATGATATTTCACAGGCTCTAAGAGGTCATTATTTTAGGTACCACTAAGAAAGAACAAAAAAAATGTTTCCAATCAAAGTAAGACATACCATGGATTATAAAATCCTCATTAAAAGATATTAAAATGTGAAAAAAATTATCTCAGAATTTATTAAATATTGAGGTATTCTGAGAGGGCCTTTGGTGGAGATAATGCGGGGGACACAAGCCACACCCTGTAGTCATTTCTTGGTGCCACCATTGCTTTAAATGATGCAGTTTTAAACCATCCAATCAAGTCTCCTTTGTACATCAAGTCACTCTTCCTTACCAGTCACTCCCAGAATGACATTATAACTTTTAGATGCAGGCCAGCCAGTGTGGTTCAGTGGTTGAGCATGGACCTATGAACCAGGAAGTCACCATTGGGCTGGATCCCCAGTAGGGGGTGGGCAGGAAGCAGCCAATCAGTGATTTTCATCATTGATGTTTCTATCTCTCCCTCTCCCTTCCTCTCTGAAATCAATAAAAATAGATTTTAAACAATAGATGTAGATGGGAGGGAATGGGGAAGGAGATTGGGATGGAGGTAGGAAACATCTATGGAAATACCATTTGCTTTAAAACCATCAAGAATTTAAAAACAAACATGCACTTTTTCAAATTCTGTTATTCGGTAGGTAGTCTTCATAAAGCATGCTTTCTACATAAGTCTGTATTAGACCAGACCTTAAAACAGTGATGGCGAACCTATGATACGCGTGTCAGAGGAGACACGCGAACTCATTTTTTTTGGTTGATTTTTCTTTGTTAAATGGCATTTAAATATCCTATATAATAAAAGGCTAATATGCAAATTGTTCCCTTGGGAGCTTGACCGACCGGAAGTTCGACCGCTTGCTATAACATGCACTGACCACCAGGGGGTGGTGTGGAATGAAGGAAGGCCCTGATCGGCCCTGATCGCTGGCCAGGCCTAGCGACCCTGCTGTGTACAAATTTTGTGCACCAGGCCTCTAGTATAAAATAAATATCAAAAATATAAGTCTTTGTTTTACTATGGTTGCAAATATCAAAAAATTTCTATATGTGACACGGCACCAGAGTTAAGTTAGGGTTTTTCAAAATGCTGACACACCGAGCTTAAAAGGTTCACCATCACTTCCTTAATACATCTTACTTGCACATGAATCTTATCTATATATATAAAAGCCTAAATGACCGACTGTTTCTGTGAACAGTCTGGCTGAATTGTTGCTGATGGCCAGTAGCTATGACGTGCACTTGACCACCAGGGGGCAGATGCTCAAAGCAGGAGCTGCCGAGCGACAGCAACTTTGCAGAGTGCCCTCTAGCACTCCGGGACCCCTCGGGCGATGTCGGACTGCTGGTTTCAGCCCTATCCCTGCAGGCCATGCAGAGCACCTGCCAGAGGGACCCTGCTCATTCCACAGACGCCTTTCGAGCCCCAGCGCCATCCCAGGTGCTGCCAGCTGGGGAGGGACAGCAGGAGGTTGACTCCAGGGTGTATCCGGACCGTCTTGCCCAGTCCTGCCCCACTGGCCACCTTCTAATTAATTTCCTTTCAATGTGCATGAATCCATGCACTGGGCCTTAAGTTAAAAAATAAAATAAAATAAAATAAAATAGGTGGGATAGACATTCTGGTGCTGTTGGGGATCTTTTTTTTTCCAACCTGAAATCTAGTCTAAATCTAATGTCAACATTTAGTGTTCAATGTATAAGATCATTGTTATTTTTAAAACATTGTCAATGAAGACATTTACTGGTGGGGTTTTTGTTTATATTTTGTGCATGAGAAACTTATTTAGTAGGCTGCTTGGGAAATAGATTTAATTTTCTGTGAACAGTCTGGCTGAATTGTTGCTCATTTATTACTATTTACATTGAACTTTGTACTGTAAAAGTCACCTTTCTGAGTACTCTGAACTTTCTATTTCTTTCTTCATACCAGCCTGCCCTGTTGTCCCTCAATCATTTGTCATAAAAATTTCTAAGGCTGGTATGTTGATGGAATGTTTCTATTTCAAGAGGTTTTAACATCAGGCTCGAAAATATATGCTCATTTGTCAGTGGAACTGATTTAGCAACTTCTATAATCCTAGCCTTGTCATTTAATCATGATATTTATATTTAAAAGTATTAGAGGGGAACCTTGCCTTAAGAGCTTTTAATCTAATGATCCAATTGGAAGGACAAGACAGATTAATGAGACCTTAGATCAGTGGTTCTCAACCTTCCTAATGCCGTGACCCTTTAATACAGTTCCTCATGTTGTGGTGACCCCCAACCATAAAATTATTTTCATTGCTACTTCATAACTGTAATTTTGCTACTGTTATGAATCGTAATGTAAATATCTGATATGCAGGATGTATTTTCATTGTTACAAATTGAACATAATTAAAGCATAGTGATTAATCACAAAAACAATATGTAATTATATATGTGTTTTCCGATGGTCTTAGGTGACCCCTGTGAAAGGGTCGTTTGACCCCCAAAGGGGTTTCGACCCACAGGTTGAGAACCGCTGCCTTAGATGCTTATATGGTGGGTGGCACAGTCAATATTGGAGGCACCATGGAGGTACCAAGATCCCAAACAGCAATACTATATCTATCTATCTATCTATCTATCTATCTATATCTATATCTATATCTATATCTATATCTATATCTATATCTATATAGTATTTATTTGATAGATTGACCAGGAGTTGGAGAATGGAGAGGGAATGTGCAATTAACACCACATAACTAATGGTTAATTATCCTAATATATAAAAACCCTGCGTCCGTCACATCCACAATGACTGGAGGCTCGACCTAACGCCCAGGTTGCGCACGCAGCAGGCTGTGGTGAGTGGGGACTTGTGGCAGTGGAGACGGGGATGGGGAGGCAGGGCTGGCACTCACACTCACAACCGCACACATGCACAGCCACACACAGCACCTACCAGCTCACAGCCTTTTCTCCCTTTCTTTCCCTCCCTCCCAGCTTGCTCTCAGAGCCTCTCTCAGAATGAGGAAACAAAACATACTGGGCTTGAAGAGGCCTGGATGGAAGGGAGGGCGGGCAGAGGGTGGAGCGGCCCCCATTGGCCCCACCCACTCCCAGCTGGCAAAGAGGAAGAGGGAGACAGGGAGGCAGGAAGTCAGGGAGGACTGCTGAGAAAAACAGAGAGAGACAGAGACTGGGCGAGATCAGGCCTGCAGGGGAGGGCAGTTGGGGGCGATCAGGCAGGCAGGCAGAGGCAGTTAGGGGTGATCAGGCAGGCAGGCAGGTGAGCGGTTAGGAGCCAGTGGTCCCCAATTGGAGAGGATGCAGGCTGGGCTGAGGGAACAACCCCCCCCCCCCCACATGAATTTCTTGCACCAGGCCACTAGTAAAATATAAACTGATACAGTTTGTTCTAGATCTATTAAATATTTTATGAAGTTTCATTCTGGTTTACAATCCCACAAGTATTATTGGGTCCTACCACAGGCAGGCACACTGCCAGGGACCAGGAAAACAAGGACCTGATGGCATAGGTTTATTGATTTATCCTTTGTTTCACAGGAGAAAAATAATCATATCCTAGTGTTGGGCCTCGATGGAGCAGGAAAGACCAGTGTTCTCTACTCTCTAGCTTTAAACAGAGTCCAGCACAGCAAGGCACCCACCCAAGGTTTCAATGAAGTGTGCATCAGCACTGAACACAGCCAGATGGAGTTCCTGGAGAGTAAGCCCTCTTTCTCATTAGTTACAGGATAGCTCCTTTGTTATACCTTAAGCAGGATATAATATTATCACCATTGGGTCCTTGTGAAAAGTAATACTGGGTCAGATTTTCCTAGAGATTTAGAAAGCATTTGTAGTTTAATACTGGAGTGCACTGTGAGGGACATCACTTTCTGCTCTTTTCATTATCTCCTTTTTACAGTGGTGGTGATAAAGGGCAGTTGAGAGGAAGGCTTTATATTCCTTGAATAGCAGCCTCCCTCCTCCCTTGCTACCCCAAGTAAACATGCAATCTAAGTAAATATCGCGTGCTTCCTTCTCTACAACCCCAACTGCAGACAAACCCCAAACCTCTTCTTGTATACAGATGGCAGCCCAGAAGCCCATACTCTGTAGTAATTCTGGAGTCACCACCGCTCTAAATATTGCTATTCCCCAAAGTCTCATCAGGTTCTCTTTACATTCTTTCCTTGGTTGATTTCATCCATCCTCTTGGCATTAAGTACCATGTATATGCTGATGACTCCCAGATTTATCTATTCACCCCAAACATATTCAAATGTCACCTGACATTTCACCTGGCTGTCTGATGGCCCTCTCAAACCTAATGTCAAAACAAAATGCTTGAGTTATCTCCATACCTGTTCCTTTCCTTATAATCCACTGGTCAGGACCCATCAAGTTGCTCAAGACAGAAAACCCGGAGTCACCCTTGTTTGCTCCTTCTGTACCGCACCTCCAGTAAAACACGATGAATTTTTCTACCTTTACAACAAATCTCCAATTCATCAGTTACAGCCTTTCCCACTACCCTTATTTGAGTTGGAACCTCTATTATCTCCTACTGAGATTACTGCAGTACCTTTTTAATTTTGCTATCGTCCAGACACAAAGAGAAAATGAGCAGAGAAATTGATAAACCTGTAAGCAAATCTTTAAGAAAAAAGATGATATTCGGAATAGAGGTTTCAACTTGCCCAGAAGCTATTGAAGAAATAATTATTTTGACCAAATAAATAGCTAAAAAAAAAATCGTTTCAAAATATAAAAAACGAAAAGGAAGGAGGAAGGAAGGAAGGAAAGGAAGGACCCAAGTAGAGAGAAATGGACAGATCTATAATTGGAGTGAGGGATTTCAGCATACTTGTCAATTTTTCATAGGATTAAGGAGACAAAAACTTGCAAAGATGCACAAACTTTGAACTTAATCAACAAGTTTGATCTATTGGACAATATAAAATTGCCTAATTAGTCTATTTTACCTACACCCAAAAGCTAAAATACACATTCTCAAACACTCATGTAACTTTTACCAAAATTGACCACTCACTGGGCTGTACAGCAAGTCTTAACACATTTCCAAATAAGAGGCATCATACAAAGCATGTTCTCTGGCTGCGTTGCAGTTAATAACTGAAAGATAAAAATCTCTATATAGGTAAAATGTCAGGTATCGGGGGAAAAAATGAGGAACACAAATGTTCATTCTTGTTTAAACTAAATATATTTAAATCATATGAACAACTTAGAAGATTATACAACACCCTTTAAAAATTAAAACCACAAAATACTTCAAAGACTGACTCAATACAAAGGAAAATAATGGAATATAAAAACCCTTTCCCATTAGTATGGTAAATGTTTTTATTGATTCCTAAAACAGCGGTCTGCAAACTTTTTCTATAAAAGGCCGAATAGGGACTAGGTGAGGCCTTGTGGGCCACCTGGTCTCTGTTGCCACTACTCAGTTCTGAGGTTCTAGTGGGAAAGCAGCCACAGACAATATAGAATCAAATCCACATGTCTATTCTGAAAAAGCTGTATTTGAAGACAATGAAATGGAAATGTGGTATAATGTCCACATGTCATGAAAAAGTATTCTGTCTTTTTCTTTCAAATGTTTAAAACTGTAAAATTGCCTAGCCAGCGTGGCTCAGTGGTAGAGCATCAACCTATGAACCAGGAAGTCACAGTTCAATTCCCCATCAGGGTACATGCCCAGGTTGCAGGCTTGATCCCCAGTGTGGGGCATGCAGGAGGCAGCTGATCAATGATTCTCTCTCATCATTGATGTTTCTATCTCTCTCTCTCCCTCTCCCTTCCTCTCTGAAATTAATAAAAATATATTTAAAAAGTAAAAAATAAAACTATAAAATCCATTCTTTCTTTGTGGGCTGTACAAAAATAGACAGTAGGCCAGATTTAGACTGTGGGCCATAGTTTGCCAACCCCTGTCCAAGGAGAAAAATAAAAACTAAATTCATTGTGTATAATAATATTGTCATTAACCAAAAACTTTCTTCTGAGAAGAATCAATAGAATGAAATAATCCAAAGGCACTTTTTTTCTGAGGCAAGTATTAGTGAATGCCCATAGGATTATATTAACTCTCAGTGCAAAATTAAGAAGAAAAATTAGTTCTGGGATTTTGACAAAGGAAAACATTGTGCAAGTGAGGCTACCCAACGCATTTAGTCCATTGTTTTAGAGAAATGTGTTTTAATCCACCATCTAGAATTATTTTAGTAGCTTATTCCCATTTCTTTTTTAGCTGTAACTGATGGACGTGCAGGGGCTGCCGTGGCTGCTATGTATAACAGCAGGAGGCATCCACTGTAGTATTTAGTATTTCATGCAGAACCTTCATGTTCCAGAATGAATAAATCACTTGTGGAGGTAAATATCTCCACCCACCCACTCCTTCCCCAGTGACGTCTCTCTGGTGGTTCTCAAGTGGTACACTCTAACCCAGTGGTATTAGGACCCCTGCACAGTGTTCAGAAGTTACCTGACTGCCTTTCCTACCCCCTCGGCGAATGTGGCTGTGGCTTTTTGTGTGTGTCTTCTTTCCCTGCTCTTCTTTGTAGTTGGTGGCAGTGAACCTTTCCGTTCCTATTGGGAAGTGTATGTGTCCAGGGGAATGCTGCTGATCTTTGTGGTGGACTCAGCAGATCACAGCAGGTTACCTGAAGCCAAGAAATACCTTCATCGGCTAATTAAAATAAACCCAGTCATCCCTCTGGTTGTGTTTGCAAACAAACAGGTAAAAATCTGTTCACATATTATTTGTACTCAATAGTTTTATCATTAACACAAGAAATAGAAATACCTACTTTTAACAAGTAAATATTAAACAATATGCTTTACAGCCAGCTCAATTTATACTTATTAGATCTACTGGATTATAAACACCTTGAATGTAGAGACTAGTATTCATCTTTGTGCCCCTTTGTATACTGCCTTGGTATAGTAGGAATCTAACAAATATGTGTTAAATTTAATTCAATGAACATTTGCTGATTGTTGATTTCAACAAAATATTTGTGTCTACCATGTAAAAAGAAATTTATATCAATTAGGCCTGAATTATGTTCATACACATACATTAAAATTATTAAGCATCCATGGAGAAATAGAATGTTGTATATTGTTGGTGGAAAATAGTATGGCAGGTTCCTGAAAAAATTAAGTGTATAATTCCCATATGATCCAGCAAATGAAAAAAATTGAAAGCAGGGACTCAAACAGATATTTGCATACCCATGTTCATACCAGAATTACCCCTGATGGGCTTTTACCATTACAAGGAGCCCCTCTTTCCATCCAACACCATCCTTCTATTTATTTCCTCTCAAATTCCATCAGTGAATTTCTTCACTTGAGACATCATTCACATATCACTGGATCCATTAACACTGTTACAAAAGTCACTGCAGGCCCTAAGACTAAATGAATTCAGGAGTCAGACAGGCAATCTGTTGGGACAACCGACATCCAGAGAGGTAATCAACTCCAGCCAGATACCAAGTACAGCACAGCAGGAAGCCTCATGGATTCCCAGCGATGGAATCTGATAGGTTCATATTGGTACAAGAAAAACACACGAAACAACGCCCTTTAAATCATTCCCAGACATTTTTAAATGATCCCCTAAACCTTAGGGAGAACACTATGAAACAACAAAAGCCAATTACAAATGCAACTTTTCACCTAGTGTCTTGTCTTGATTGTAAAGAAGGTTTTGACCTTGCCATGCAGCAGAAGTATGGGCTTTCTGTCTCATTTGAATCTCTTCTCTTTATGCCTCTCCCTGTGGGTTGCCCTCCTGTAAGCCTTCCCCATCTTTCCATCTTATCCTCTTTCTCTCCACCTGTCCTCTTCTCTCGGCCTCCTTCTCCTACCACTTCATTTTCTAAATCCATTCCCTCCCTGCTCCTTTCTCTGTCTCCCTTCACCCTGCAAAATTTGATCCAATTTTTTTTTTGGTTGAGTAGAAATAATGGTCACAAAAGAAAACTCACAATGGCAAATGCTATAATCAATAAAACATGACATGGACAAAAAACAGTTAATGAATGAAATATCTCTTTAAAATAAATTTAAAATAATTGATCCTATTAAATATAATTCAGGGAAAATAGAAAAAGTAAGAAGCAGATTGACTGTAGTGTTTAGAACATTGATTAAGGTGTTATATTGGTTTAACTTTATTCCAAAAATATATTTTTGACGATAATTCATAAATATGGGTTTAATTCTGATGAAAATATTTATATTCAACAACCACTAGGGTCATAATAATGGGGTCACAATATCCTCCATATTAAAATGAATGTGGGGTGATTGAGAGCAATAAATGCAAAATAACCAAAATTTTTCCATTTCTTTCTTTCATTCTTGAAGGATCTTAAAGCAGCCTATCACATTACAGACATCCACGAAGCTTTGGCATTATCTGACGTGGGAAATGACAGGACGATGTTCTTGTTTGGGACCCAAGTGACTGAGAATGGCTCAGAGATACCGTCCACCATGCAAGATGCCAAAGACCTGATTGCACACCTGGCTGCACATACGCAGTGACTAGGCGAGGCCCACACTGGCTCACGACTGAGAAGTCACCAGGGAGTGTTGCATGGCAGGCTTGAAGCCAAAGGTTTCCACTTTTAAATAAAAAATAACCCATTTCCTATTTTCTCAATGCATGGCATATATACAAAGATAATGTTAATTGATTAAAAGCATCTCTTTATTTTGATTTTGAACTTTAAAAGTATTGGTAGCGCAATGTATTTGGGGGAATTTGGAGTTTTAAGCAACAAAATTAAAATGAACATTAGCAAACATATATCCCATTTGTAGTTTTTCAATGACATGAGATTTATATTGACATTTTAATAAAATTTTCTCTTTTTTAGTAAAAATCCAGGTGTCTCTTCTTTAAGTATATGAGTTTGACACTGTAAGGAAAGAAATATTGGGGTAGTGCAATAAGAAAAAGTAAGCAGCTCTGGCTGGTGTGGCTCAGTTGGTTGGGCATTGTCCATGCACTGAAAGGTTGCTGGTTCGATTCCATGTCAGAGCACATGCCACCCCCCCCCCAATAAAGAAATGTAAAAGGAAGTCCTTCAAGCAGGACTTATTTTTATTTTATTTTTAAAATATATTTTTAATTATTTCAGAGAGGAAGGGAGAGGGAGAGAGAGAGATAGAAACATCAATGATGAGAGAGAATCATTGATCAGCTGCCTCCTGCACACCCCCTACTGGGGATCGAGCCCACAACCCAGGTATGTGCCCTTGACCGGAATTGAACCCAGGACATTTTTCTTTTATATATGCGCTTTCTTCACTAGAAATAGCTCTGTTTACCTACAAACACGATATAAATCTAACTTTTAACCTAGTGTCTTGTCTTAGTGTCTTGTCTTGATTTAAAAAAAAAAAGGACTTCATTTCCATTCCAGCATGTACGAAGCTTGGAAGCCTCCTCTGTTCTAACAAGTAAAAGCTGAACAGACTGAAAAATCAACAACTCTTCTTGGATCCAGAAGAGAGGTGAGGACACAGGCTGCCCCAAGACTGGAGAAACCAATAAGAGAATACAGAGAAGGATAAGCTACCAAAGCAGAGACTCACAATGGGAAACCACTCTTGGGAACCAGTGCCAGGGTTTGGGAACCAGAACTGGAATTGACCAATTGCTGGAGGCTCAGCATGGATAACTCTGAGCATTAAAAACTCCAGGAAGCCCTAGCTGGTTTGGCTCAGCGGATAGAGCATCGGCCTGCAGACTGAAGGGTCCCAGGTTCGATTCCGGTCAAGGGCATGTACCTGGGTTGCGGGCACATCCCCAGTAGGGGGCGTGCAAGAGGCAGCTGAATCGATGTTTCTCTCTCATCAATGTTTCTAACTCTCTATCCCTCTCCCTCTCCCTTCCTCTCTGTAAAAAATCAATAAAATATATTAAAAAAAAAAAAACTCCAGGAAGACCAGTTATATGGGAGTCTCCACATTTTGTGAGATTTAACTTCAGGAGCTTGACCAGATTTTCACAATAAATATCACAGAAAAATCCCCAGGTGTTTCCAGGGCTGGAGAAAAAGGAACCCTTTTTTTTCCTTTTTTTAAATCCTCACCTGAGGATATTTTTCCATTGATTTTTAGCGAGAGTGGAAAGACAGAGAGAAACATCGATGTGAGAGAAACACATCGATTGGTTGCCTCCTGCATGAGTCCCGACCAGGGCCCAGGCAGGGAGGAGCCTGCAACCAAGGTACAGTTCCCTTGACTGGAACCCAACCTGAGACCCTTTGGTTCGCAGGGCGATGCTCTATTCACTGAGCCAAACTGGCTAGGGCAGGAACCATTTTAAATATGCCACAGCACTTTACTCTTATTAACAAGGCCTGACCTCTGGGAAAACTAGTTAACCAGAGCCTAACCTGCAGGGATATTCTCAGAGCCCAAATCTAGCACTCTAGCCCAACTTAAGACTTTAAAGCTACAGTAATTTAGACATTGTAGTTTTGGCAAAAACAAACAAACAAACAAATCAATGGAACAGATTAGAATGCCCAGAAATAGACCCTGATAAATACAATCAACTGATTTTTGACAAAGGAGCAAAGGCAATACAATGGAGCAAAAAAAAAGTCTTTTCAATAAATGATACTGGAACAACTGGACATCCACATGCAACAACAACAACAAAAAAGAATATAGACCCAGACCCCACAACCGTCACAAAAATACAAAAATTAACTTAAAATGGGTCACAGATATAAAACCAAAGGCATGATCCATGAAAGAAAGAATAAGCTGGACTTCATTAAAATAAAAACTTTCTGCTCTGCAAAAGACACTGTCAAGAGAATGAGAAAGAAAAAAAAAAACAGACCACAGAATAGGAAAAAATAGTTGCAAAATAAACATCTGATAAAGTACTGTTACTCAAAATATACAAAGCACTCTTAACAATAACAACAAGAACAACCTGATTTAAAAATGGACCAAAAACCTTAAGAGACACCTCACCAAAGAAGATATACTCGTGGCAAATCTTATTCGATACTGAAGAAGAAATTAGCTATCACATCATGAAAAGAAATGGAGAAAATTTGAATGCATGTTACTAAGTGAAAGAAGACAATCTAAAAAGGCTACATACTGTATGATTCCAACTATAAGTCATTCTAGAAAAGGCAAAACTGTGTTGACAGTTCAAAGAATAAGTGACTGCCAGGGGCAGGGGGCGGCGGGGGCGGGGGGAGGATGAATAGGTGGAGCATAGAGGACTTTTAGGGCAGTGAAACTTCTCTGTATTATACTGCACTGGTGGGCACTTGTCATTACCCGTATACTAGTACATTCGGCCAGACCAATGGAATTCAAAACACCAAGCGTGAGTCCTAATGTTAACCATGAACTTTGGGTAATTATGATGTGCCATTGTAGGTTCATGGGCTGTAACAAATGTACTACTCTGATGGAGGATGTTGATAATGAGGGAGGCTATGCGTGAGTGGAGGTATATGGCAAATCTCTGTGTATTCTGATTAATTTTGCTGTGAACCTAAAACTGTTCTTTAAAAATTTATTAGACTAAGAAACCGTTAGTTGAAAAAAAAATTGGAAAGAGGATTTGTTCTGCAAATTCTTCCTTTAAAACTTGGAATCTGTAGCAAAACAAAAAACCAAATTTGGTGAAGACAGCCCCTCCCATTGTTAGCACATAGACTTCTCTATCAAACTTTGGGTCTAAATGGCACATAATTGAACTTCAGCATGCATGTGCAAATGATTATTAATTTCCCTCTGAGATGTTAGAGTGTGTGCCTTTAAGGTCACGAGCTTTCTCATAGTCAGAGGTGCAGGATGGTGTTTAACAGCATGATATTACAACAGCCCATTCAGGTGTCTGAGGTCAGACCTTCTTTTGTCTGGCCTATGGAGATTGGATCACACAATGATTTGGGATTGTCAGAAACCCCGAATTTTCAGCCTCTGCCCCAAGGATGGCCATGAACTGAGTCCTGGACAATTCCTTAACTATCTTGTGTCTTACTCAGTCTTCACTCTGGCAAAAGACTAAACCAAATGCAGGCCACTTCCAGCCCCAAACTCTGATTCTATAAGGTATCTTTTTATTATGTTTTCTAGGGTGGTCAGGGGAATACCTAATTTCCTGGATGCCTATTTCAAAGATGATGCTTTCAGATACGAAGGGACATCTCTGTTCTTCCTTGGTTAGCCTTGTTTTACCTCACTTTTTTTTTTTAAAGATTCTGCATTTTAGCAATAAATGTTGTGGCCAGCATGTTTCCTTCAGGGAATAGCTATTGAATGCCAATATGGTGGTCACTGGTTGGTGCTGGGGATGATTAAAGCAAAGACTTGAGATATTGGCAGACTGTCAAGGGAGGCACATGTCTCAGGGGTTTTTAATGGAAACGGCCAAGACAGGTGCGAGTGTTGTTAAAGAAGCTGTCTGGCTGGTGGTCTGCCCAACAGACCTCATGGGGGGTGGCATTTATTACTTTGGAGAACTTTGCACACTCTGGTGTCTGTTGCCAGCCTTCCAGGCTGAGAAGCCATAGGTTTAGTGTGCATGCTAAGCGTTGATCTGTCTTTTCATTCATTCATTTAATCAACATTTAATGAGCACCAACTATGTACTAGAAAATGTGTCAGAACTCTTTCAGTTAAAAATGATGGAAATTCAAGTTAGATTTTTGTATGCCAAGAAAAGGGGATCTGGGAGTCTCATCATACCAGGAAACTTGGGCCTGGGTGGATTCAGGGGTTCAAAGTTAAAATGTTCTCCATCATTTGGCCCTGCTAACCTCTACTTGGCTTCATTCTCCAGATTTCCTGGGCGAGGGACATTCGCCTACAACATTCGTATACTAGTACAGCTCATGATCCCGGAATAAGATGGACTCTCTCCTTCTAAAGCAGCCATCCAGCAGATCTCAGGGAGGGGCACTGATTGGCTCTGCCAGGGTCAAATATTCATCCCCGAACCAATCCCTGTGGTCATTTTGCCAGGACCAGCACTGGGCCAATGTGAAGGTCCAGGTGTAGGAAGAAGCTGACATGGGAAATTGCTTGACACGTTAGAGAGGAACAGGGAGGCTGGAATGTAGCCAGTAAGGGCAGAGCAGCCCACAGTAGACTGGAGAGGCAAGGACCAGATCACCCACGGGCCCCATAAAGTGCAAAGCTTGCAATTTATTTTAAAATAAACAGTTTGGAGCAGCGGTTCTCAACCTGTGGGTCGCGACCCCTTTGGCGGTCCAACGACCCTTTCACAGGGGTCGCCTAAGACCATCCTGCATAGCAGATATTTACATTACGATTCATAACAGTAGCAACATTACAGTTATGAAGTAGCAACGAAATGATTTTATGGTTGGGTTGCAACATAAGGAACTGTATTTAAAGGGCCAGAAGGTTGAGAACCACTGGTTTGGAGTGTCCTGATTGGAGGTCGGCCAACTCAGAACACCCATCTGGAAGGCATTGCAGAATCGAGAGAGGAGAGAGAGAGAGAGAGAGAGAGAGAGAGAGAGAGAGAGAGAGAGAGAGAGATGGCCTGGACTGTCAATCTCAGCATCCCCTCCGTGCCGTGCCTACGGAGGACCTGTGCCAGGGAACCTAACAGAGACTTGGCTCGGCTGTCTGAGTGGCGCTGTAACTGGTCTGGAAGCTGGTACGTTCTGCAACAGGGTTTCCGCAACCGGAGCAAACGAAGTACAGTGGGGCCTTGACTTACGAGTGTCCCGACTAATGAGTTTTTTGAGATGCCAGCTGTCTCTCCGATTTTTTGCATTGAGTTGATAGAGTAATTTGAGTTAACGAGCTCCTTAACGAGCTCCTTAACAAGCTCGGTCTCGAACGAATTGAACTCGTAAGTCAAGGCCCCACTGTACTCGCCCTTGACACACAGAACGGCTGGTCAGCAGCGCTGATTCTGGCACACACGGGTCTCTGGCTTCTGTCTCTAGGGTGGAGCGTGCTTGTGGGCCCCTGGGGTGCGTCATGTCGCCTTGGCAACCAGAGAACCTGCAGGGAGGGGGCGGGGACGGGGCTCCCCCACCGGCCTCTGCGGCGGGTGGGCTGGGGCAGGGCGCCGCTGGCGGTAACTCATCCTTCCGCCATCGCGTCCAGGCCAACAGCGACCCAGCTAGGGCCGGCGCCCCGCGCAACCGGAGCTTCCTGGGCCCCCATGAAGAACCAAGAGTTTTTGGGTTCATCGGAGCTATCCGATGGGCATGATACGACAGAAATATCCGCTAGCTCGAAAGCTTCCCAGGCACCCTTAGTAGAAGGCCTCCTGACCGCGCTTGACGAACAGGAGCCGGGGACGGAGCCGGGGACCGAGCCGGAGCCGGGGACGGAGCCGGAGCCGGAGCCGGAGCCGGGGACGGAGCCGGAGCCCGAGCCGGAGCCCAAGGTGACGGAGGCAGCCGACGAGCAAGGCCAGCTAGAGGAGAGCGAGGAGATCCCCGAGCCCTCCGAGTCCTATGAGCCATACATTCTCTGTGAACCCCACAAATACTGTGGGCCCTTTGAAGCCTACGAACCCTACGACAACGACGAACCCTCTGACCCCTACGAGCCTTACCACTACGAGCCCTACGAGCCCCAGGAGCCCCCAAAGCTCCGTGTGCCCCCTAAGTCCAAGGGCTCCCGCAAGGCCCACAAAGCTGAGCTGCCCCACGGCGCCGCCTTGAGGATCGCTCCGACTCCGGGGACCAGAAACCTGCCGCCGACTTCCCTGACTTACCCGAGCGGTAGGTGTGGGGGCCCCTCCAAGGCACTGAGCAACTCGGCCAAACCTAAAACGGGGGGTCCTGGAAATTTGAACGCTCCTTTTGTTTTAAAGGAAGATGACTTTTGTGCCATCCACCTACTTCTGTTCCTGGGGGGAAATTGAGACTAGTCCCCAGAGAAACGGAATCGCTTGTCTCTGCTCCCTCCACCTGATGACCTCCTAGCTGTCTTGATTATCCATCCTTGCTTCTTTTTGAAGCCCTTCGTAATTCTTCTCTACAGTTAGTTACTGCATTCCTCTGGGTTGCCCCTTTGAACATAACCTCTGTTATAGCACTTGAGAATTTGTATTTCATCATTATGTTTCTCCCCAGCTATAGAGGGATCATTAAAGAGAGGATATTTTTGTCAGTGTTTGGCACATGGTGACAATCAAGAAATGCTTAGCTATTATATTGTGAAAGTTGTAGTAACAAAATACTCACGGAGCAAGTAGTCAAAGAGTACATTTACCAAGTAAATGCTTACTATATGCTCAGTCCTCACCAAGTTCACAGGGTAGCAGGGCTGATGGGACTTGGGTGTGAGCATCCTTTGCTCTGATCACACCAGCTCACTTCTGACCTCTCGATGATGACCCCACCCAAAGCAATTAAATCTCATATTCTTCTTGACTCCTCTTTATCAGCCTGGATTTTATGGCCTATTGTTCCAGTTGCTCACATAATCTACCACCCCACTGGCTCTTTGGCAAACCACCATACTTCTCCTGGCAAAACCCCAACCCTGGTTAACCCCAACCACCCACCTTCTGCCTACACCTGAGCAGGTGACTACTGCTGTACGAAATTCCATAATCATATTGTGTGCTTCTATTTCCGTTTCATGACCACTAATCTCACGTGGTCACTTGGCACTACCTAGCAAACCCACTTTATTCACCTAGTTACTTCTCACTCCTCCATCCTTCATACCTTTGACTCTCAAACAGCTGAAGATCTTGAAGGAGAGACATATATCATTTTATACTCCATGGTCCACCAATGGAATTACTTATTCCTTTGCAAATATCCTTAACTCCCTTGCCAATTCTTGTCTGCACTTGGAAAAACAGATGATGACAACAAAAAAACAACTATTCTGATCTTGAAATTCATGATCTCGAACTTAGAGGTAGGCTCTCGGTGCTGCTTGGCAATCATACTGCATGTCCCTAGTCAGCTCATTTTCCAACACAGAAGCTATCAAACTACCAGCACCTGTCTATGCACTCTAGCTTTTCTCCTGTTAATAATGGATGAACTGTCTTTGTTCCTATTCAAGGCCAATCTCCCAACCTGTAAGTTGGATCCCATCCCATCCAACTTTAAGCTGCCTTTCTCCTAAAATTAGCCTTCTCTCTCCTGCATCATTTTATTCCTCTCTCTACTGGATCATTCCCATCAGCACATGCACATGCAGTAATAACTCCTATCTTAAGCAGAAAAACAAAACAAAACAAACTTCCCTTAACCCCATGTACCGCTCCAGGTACCACTTCTTTAGAGAAAAATTTCTCAAAATAGTTGTCTATAAGTCATTATTTCCATAGCCTCTCTTCCCATTTTCTTGAGAACACCCTGAAGCTTTCATCTCCTTTATTTAGCGGAAGTGGCTCTTGTTGAAGTCGACAATGACCTCTGCTTGCCAAATTCAATGGTTCATCC